CTTATTGACTAAACTTTTATTTTCTTTTTATAATACCCTAGCAGCATTATGCACGTTGTGACCGCCCTTAATTTTAGAATTGACCTGTAAAATAAACTATAAACTTAGCTAGGATCCTGAGCCAAGCGATGCTTCCCTCATTGGTCTCCACACCCCATGTGACATTTCCCTTTCTGTGGTCCAATCAAATGCTTCTCATAGAAGTCACGTGTACGAGGAGGGGGCTGTAACTAGCCCCCAGCACAAAAGTGAAGTGTAGAGATCTCTGTGTGCAATGTTTCAAGCAGAAATGCTGCACTTGTAGATTCCTACCACCTTGACCACTTCTAAAAGCAGTGGTTAGAGTAACCCTTTAATACTCCCTCCAACTATTGCTCCCTACTATCATATGGCAGAGAATTATGGGACTATAGTATTACATCTCTACATAAATGTTTATTCAGTGTCTTTTTTTTTTAGTTATATATATATATATATATATATATATATATATATAATATCTACAGAATTTCAGAGTTCCAATTATATTTTTTTTGATAGGATTTAGTATATAACAAAATCAAAATAGTGAAGTGTTCTAATCGGCAGATTGTCCAGAAGATGCACACTGATTTAAAATTAATACGTAATGATGCAGTTATGTAATATCTGTGGTTTCCATCTGGTTGTCTATTACAGCTGCGCTTCTTTCACTACGGGGCCTTCCAGAGTTTAAAAGGAAAGTGGTATGGACCAGAGCCTACGGATGGTAGTCACCTTTAATGGTACCCTATTATTTGGAAAGATGAGGCTTGCCAGAAGATTCCTGCCAGTCCCACCCTTGAAAACTATATTCTCATTAACTATTGTTCAAGCCTGCAAAACCCAAGAACAAACACAAGAGTGGCTTACTGTGTGTTAATCATGCAGCAGATTTAAAGGGAATTGTTTAAAGAAAAATATGAACGGACCAAAAAAAAATCTGTGTTCTTTGTCAAACAGCAGAACGGAACTTTGACTAATGTTCTGTCCCTATAAATATCCTTTATTTATTTCCACCATTGCTCTGCATGTCAGAGATCAATGGTTACCTGGAAGATCTCAATAAAACACACTCATGTGAAATCAGAGTGCTTTTTTTTTATTATACAAAAGACATCAAGTTATATAGACATACAAAAGCGCTATAATACAAAACACATCACATTATGATGAACATTTTTTTTAAGAAGTAAAAGAGTAGAGTTTGAGCAGTGTAAGCACACATTTGCATCATGTTGTGCAAATAGCACCGGTAGCATCCTCTTCGTCACCTTTTTGTTGGTGCAATGAGACTTCCTTGATGCACATTGCAGTCCATATCATAGATAGGCCTAACAAATATGCTATTGATAATGCTGCTCAGAATAATGGAACTGAAAAAGTGATTGGCAAATGTAAACAAAAAGGCTATATTAAAAGCATAGTGACTTTTAATCTTTTTCACTTCTTATTCATTTTTAATGTAAATTACCAAACACTCTCAGATGCAACAATTCTGCCACATCTCTGCTTTTGATCCTATGATTATAATTTAATAAATAAAAGACCGCATGCATTTAAATATTGCCTTCTTATTTTACTGCATTTTAGAAAGCTTAGATAAAGCCAAATGGTTTTTCAAATGGTTTTTTTTTTAAAAAATACTTAACAAATATTTTGCACTGCAAATAGACATAGTTGTAATAAATTTGACCAATTTTCTCTTTTTTTTTCTCTCTATTAGCTAACAAAAGCAGGTTATGAGCACAGATTTCTCAACAGTTTAACCCCTTAAGGACACGTGACATGTCATGATTCCCTTTTATTCCAGAAGTTTGGTCCTTAAGGGGTTAAGCTCTATAATTGGAATTCTTTTATGGTCAAAATTTTTGTATTGAAAAGTATCAAACAGTACAAAAATTGCAAAGTACAAAGTAAACATATAGAAGTTACAAAAAGTAAAATAAGGCTCCCTACCTACCCTTTCTATTGTAGAATTTATTCCTTCAATTGCTATTTGGAAAAGAGAAAATATACTAAATATTTATGAAATAAATAGCAAATCGGGCCAGCTCAAAATTAATATTTTTGTATGTGCATTTTGTATTGGCTCCGTAGGTATATAAGGATCATCCATAAACATACAAATTTGTCTGTTGACATAAGTGCAAATGTTTTTATTGTTGCTTGTTTCTCAATTGCCACTCTTTTTTTTGTTTTCTCCTGACATCTCCCTTGCTCTTCCTTCTTTCATCTTCATGTCCCTCTCCTACAATTCTTCTTTCGTTCTCTCATCCCTAATTATTGCAGTCATTTTCAGCTTAATACACAGATTTCTTTGCTCCTCACCTTTTTTTTTTTTTTACCAGTTTCCCTTCTCTATATTTTCCCAACTTCACTTCACTATAAAGCCCACTGTGTTTTGTTTTGTTTTTTTCTCAATTCATATAACCTTTGTCCTCATGGTGGACCATTGGTGAACAGTATGCACCTTAGGCAGACACAGGTCACTCCTTGCCCTCCTTTTACTTGTATTACTCAAAGCACCAGATGGAATATGACATCATGTTGTAACGGTAGAAGACTTAAAACACAACAATGCAATGAACAATAAGAATGGTCTGTGCCCTCAGAAGACAAAGTGTGTATTTTCCCTTGCCACTTTAATGTCCAATCAGGGAAGTGGCACTTGAAATGAAGCAAGGTTCTTCATTTGTCTTGGCACAAACTGTGAATGGACCTCCATATCAAGGACTTACATGAAATTGTAGGGCCACAGACATAATACACTAAAACCCCTCTTTTATAGATTCTCTGCTTACTTCCAAATAACATCTCTATTGCTCCATGTACATAAATAATTGATTAAATGGCAATCAAGGGATGACATTTTATGGTCAAAAGATTACTTTTTTTATACACATGTAATTTTGTGATTCAGTACCATGATATATACATAAACTAACTCTTTTTTTTAAATTCTTAAGCACATTCTAATTTACAGCACGGCTCATTTTGCTTGCATTACATGTAATAGAGTGTAGGGAGGCATGCAATTGTCTTGCAGGTATTAATGCCATTATTATATCTCCAAATAACCATTATGGATTGGTCCTATGTGTTCTCCTGGAAGGTTTCAGCCCATTCTTGATGTGACTTGGTACAAGGTAAATGTGGATGTTGCTAGGCACCTTCTCATTGTGACGTTTGTCAAAAATACTTCTGATATGAACCACCAGCATTTAGGTACTTTTTACTTTCTTGTAAAAGCCAAGTCGGTTTTGTAACAATATTGGTTGCAAGCTTGTTAATTCAAAAAGGTTTATTCTTTGCCAATGGCTCTGTAAAAATAATTAATGAAAAACTGTCACTTTTACAAAAACAAATTGCAATACATTTATTTAGAATACACATCAAATGGAATATGATTTTGTGTTCATAGATTATAAACCTAATTTAAAAAGCTGTGTAAATCTTTAAACAGCAAGTGAATCACACAGTATGAAACTGCTTCAGCATGGAATAAGGCTACAATGGGTTCAAACATAGTCTGCTGATCAAATATTCAATTTAAAAAGTCTATTTCAAATACAGGACTCCCTCATTTCTCTACTACCTGTGTATTTAGTTTAATAGGCACAATATTTGAGCTAAGTTACATGACCTATGCATGAAATGCATTGGTCATGTCTGCAAGTACAGTCCCCCTGTTTGGAACTTATTTGTTATACAATAAAAAGGTTTTGTATTTTCAATTTGAGGCTGGGCTGAAGTTATATTTGTGATGAGTTACTTTCTAAGCCTGGTAATTAATCTTTGCTTTTAGTCAATTAACCAAGGACACTGTTATTTGAAGACCTGCACCACATGTAACCGTGGACAAAGCAGAGGAATGTCGAATTTGCAGGTCAAGACTTTTTTTGTGTGAGTCCTATTCAGTCCTTATTCTTTGTATATTTTAGCTGACATTATGGACAATTATTATTACCCACTATCCACGTTGGGTGGTCCAATGGTACTTCACCAGGTCTTTCTCTATATACAGTATTAACCCTCTCACTAAACCTCACAAGAGGTTGGTGAATTATGGTTATTGTATTCCCCTCGATTTACTTAGGAATTTTGTTGGGAGTCCTGTCCTGTTGCACACATGGTTCAGGAGTAGAGGATAATACGCTAGTGCACTTATTTCCTTCCTATGATGGTGAGATCCCACCAAGTCCTCGCTTCTCATCCTCTGCCCTGTAATATAGAATCCTCAGTTTTGTTTCTGTCTCCCACGAGGAAGTTGTATTTGTTGAACCTCTGACTGAGCCTGGAGTTTCTACCTTGGTCGTCTTCTAATCTGCCCACTCTATGCTTTGAGCAGCATTTTTGGGACGCAACCCCTTTAAAAACACTCCACAGGGAATGCTGGCACAGGCCCTACCATTTGGGGGGGGAGGCGGAACGAGAGTGGTAGGGAACTGGAGAGTGACTAATGTTTTGACCTATGTGGTTTTGTGTGTCCTTTGTATGTATTTAGTGTTTGTATCTTGTAATAAACATTTTACTAATATGATGGGTACGATTTATGGAAATGGGCTACCAAGGGGTACACAATTAAAAAGGTTGGGAACTACTTTTCTAGGATATTGGCATTACAGCTTTAGCCAGTTATCTATCAGATTGATTCCACAGTCCAGATAGGAAATGCTGGGTGACTCCCCCTGCACAAGATATAAAGTAACATTTTGCCTCACACATCCCATGCACAGTGAGCAATGGGTCCACATCTGGATTACCCTATTAATATAGGGAGACCCTAAGCAAATGCATTAAATCAGAAGACAACCTAATGGACCAACAGCAGTCACTTTGCATTTATATAACCTTGTTGTCAATTAACAACAATTAACTAAATGTATGATTTCCATGGTAATGGAATCAGTAAACATTGCCGAACATAACACGTATAATTAAAACAGTAATGTATTGCACTTTGATAACCCACTTACCTACTCTTATTTTGCCTTTAGCTTTGCGCTCTTTGCTCTGAGATATGTTTTTCTTTCCATAAACAGATGATTGCATATATAAAACATACCTGGAGGAATACAGATGAGGTTTAGTAAAGTGATTAGTTGAGGCAGTGTAGAAGTTAAATTTTCTGATCATTATGTTTTACCTGCAGTAAGTACGATCATGTATACTTTTAAAATGTATGGAAAGTGGACCGATACCACAACTGGTAATGTCGCTGTGAAGGAATATGTACCAAGGGATTCAAAATATGGAAGCGATTCATAAATCGTGTAAACTGGAAAAATAGGAAACCTATGTTAGAAACATTGTCATTTTTTTATTTTTTTTTTATGTATCTATTTCTATATTATCACAATGATATTTACAGATTGAATCTGAACTATATAATACATTTTTAGGTGAAATGGAGTGTCCCGATTGGCCTGCATTAAGATATACACTATATGGACAAAAGTATTGGGACACTTAACCATAAACTAACAGGGACTTTTATGACTTTGCATTCCAAACAAGTAGATATTTGTAGTAGGCCCCCCCGTTGTAGCTATAACAGCTTCCACTCTTCTGGGAAGGCTTTCCACAGGAGCGTTTCTGTGGGAATTTAACGTAAACGACAGAAGGTTTCATATTTTGCATTAACTTTTTTTTTACTAAACTCCACAACATCAAAGGAAACATAGAGAAAAAACTGAAAATCATCATGTAAAGGTAATAAGAGGCGTGTGTAACTGTAGTACTTCCTCTTTCTTTGCTGCTCCATCACTAGATAAGTCAGACCTCTGTCTTTGCATATTGTGGTTTATTTTGGATATTTTTCTTGTTACACTTTTCTTTTGTGTATGTTTCTTGTATTTTATTTGTGTTTCCCGGTTTTCACCCTTCTTTTACTTGGGTTTTTTGTCTGGCAGTTCCCTTTGGCATTCTGGGGCACTGGTCCTGTGGGGGAATTCTCCTTCATCCACTAGGCTCCCCAAACCTATGGTTCCCTGGTTCTAGGAGGGTCTGGGGACTCTCTACCCGCTTACTGTGGCTTTTTCCTGTTGCACAGGCATTACCGGAGCTCGGGCCATCATGTAGATGCACGAGCATAGCGCTCTTATAGTTCCCGAATTCCTATACTTGCAGAAATTCACTGGGACCAGGCTCGTGTTGGTGCACTGCGCACTGTTTATAGCCAGCTGGATCTAACCTGTATACTGGCTTGGGGTGAGCCCTCGTTTTCATGTGCTGTCGAGTGGAACCTGTTTTTGCTGGCTTCTGATTTCCTGGGTAAGCCCCAGTTGAATTCTACTGCCTATTGTAACACGTGGCTTACAGCCTCTGCAAACTTTGTCACAGTTTGTTCTCACAACTGTTGTTATACCTCCTTCTTGGTCCCTAGACCTCTCCTGCCCTAAGTGCCTGCTTCCATATTGAACATATGATCTGCAGGACCAAATTTCTGTGGAGTTCAGTAAAGAAAGTTAATGCTAAATATTCCCCTACTATCATTATTAGAATCAAGATTATTAGTATACTAGGGTGGGGCCGGACCGCCGACGGGATCAGACGCGTTCTGTCTGAGCTCCCGCTATGGGGCCAGGAAAACGGCGCAAACTGGAGGCAAAACCTTCCTAGCCACCCGCAACAAAGATCACACTGATCCCCAGATCCTGGGGTACGAGGGGATACCCTTCAAGATGCCTACAGTAACCCGATGAAGGCCCGAGGCGTGCAGGAGCTTGAGCCGGGACAAGACGGCCGGGTCTCCGGCCGGTGTCTGGCTTCCCCCCCTCTGGACCGGGGGGGTCATCCCGGTCTGCACACACGCATGCAACTACTGTCACGCCACGCGGGGACGAAAACTACCACCCTGCTATGGAACACTCTCCGGCAGCATTCCTCAAGATGGCCGCCGCACGCCAGTCTCATGTGCGACCTACCGCAGGAGAAACCATCCAACGCCATCGGATCACCACAGCAACCTGCCCCGGGGATGCGCCGGCGGATTACATTGAGCAGACTAAGGGGATGCTAACCACACATCTATCGGGTGGGAGAAAGAAACAAAACAAAAAACCTTTGCGCCTGTGGAGGACGCCATCACTCTCCTGGGGCCCATTTTATCTGCCCAGAGGACGACTACAATGGCTGCACCTGCACCCAGGTCTTTTCTGTGAGGAGCAACGCAACAATTCTTTCCCTGACTGATATGCATCCTTCAGAGCAAACAGCCTGCCAGCACTAGGTATGGACTAAACAAACCCATGCAGGTCCTCAAACGCACAGTCCAATCTGAATATCAGGACTTTACAAGATCTCAACCAAAGGACTGACCCAGTAGCTATCTGGCACAACTTTATTCCACCTTGCAAGAAGCATTCCCATGTTTTCTGCTGCCCTGGTTAAGCTCCTTTCTGCTTCTCAAAGCACATCTCTCATAACACTGATCCCAGCAGGCTCTGATAGTATCTTTATGTCTTGATTTCATGCACAGCGCTATATATGTTTGCTTAACCCTTGATAGGTGCAGATAGCATAAAGAGCCAATAGGTACTAACAGGGAAAACGTATAATGCCTGTTGAGTGTGTTGCAATATCATTCTACAGACATTGCTACACTAGCATAACATAAGACCATACTGTTAGATCAATAGCAATTGCCTGTCTACCTGACTAACGATGTATACCTGTTTATGTATGCCTGTATTAATCGTGAGAAACTAACCTAACTCAAGCTCTGACCAAACATGTATGTAGTATAGGTGTTTACGTACAGTCGAAACTACGATGCTGAAACTGCTTATACTCTTAGACCATATTTACAATCTACTACGGTATTCGAATGCTTAAACCTGTTTAAAATTTAAAATTGTGCATGTTACTCTTGTGCCCCGCATGTTCTGCATGGGAAAAAGCTGGAGGACTGGCTTTGGGGCACCTCTTGCCTGTTTGTGTCACATCTATGCACTACAAAAATAAAAAATGTAAAGAAGATTATTAGTACACTAAAGCTAGCATAATCTTCAGTTTTTGCCCGTTCATCAGTTCACAGTAGAGCCTTTGTGAGGTCAGGTACTGATGTTGGACTTGGCTGGCAGTCTTTATTCTAGTTCATCCCAAATGTGTTTGATGGGGTTGAGGTCAGGGCTCTGCGAGCCAATCAAGTTCTTCCATACCAAAGTCATGGTCATGTTTTTATAAACCTTGCTTTGTGCACTGGGGCCCAGTCATATTGGAATAGAAAAGGGACTTCCTCAAACATTTCCCAGAAAATTGGAAGCATAGCATTGTCCAAAATGTCTTGGTATGCTGAAGCATTAAGATTTCCCTTCACTGAAAGTAAAGAGCCTAGCCCAAACAGGCCCAAACCATTATCCCTCCTTCTCCAAACTGTACAGTTGGCATAATGCAGTCAGACAGCTAATGTTCTCCTCACATCTGCTAAACCTATGCTCACCCATCAGACTGCTAAACAGAGAAGCGCGATTTGTCCCTCCACAGAACACGTTACCACTACTCCAAAGGCTGTATGCTTTACACCAGTTCGACGCTTGGGACCCATTTTATTCACAAATATTTGTGAAGGTAGGCTGCATGGCTAGGTGCTTGATTTGATAAACCTGTGGCAATGGGTCTGACTGAAACATCTAAATTCAATAATTAAGAGATTTGTTCCAATATGGTGTATGTAACTCACAAAAATAGTTTTTGTTTGTTTGTTTGTTTTTTACATTCTTTATTTTGGTTCTGCAGATATGCATACAGAAAGTGACTATGGCATTTTGTGTAAAACAAGACACTTTCAGACTGCATAAGAACACTGAATGTCATGAGTAGCTGCACAATTTAGTTTTATAGTTTTTTAATATAAATTGCCTTCCGTATACATTAGTATAAGCAGTTTTTTCACCCTGATCTTTAACCCCTTAAGGACACAACTTCTGGAATAAAAGGGAATCATGACAGAATATTTCCGTCATGTGCCCTTATGGGGTTAATAAAACCATCTATCCTTAACTGTCACCTTCTTTAAAATTAGTATTCTTAAAGATGACATTTTATTTTTCTTAAATAAAGCATACTTTATTGCCCAACCTCACTGTGTCCTATGCAGTACTTCTCAGAGAGAAACTTCAGTTTCTTTTTGACATCAAAGATTTAGTTCTTTGACCTGGAGGAAGAGAATCTGTGCCCCATACACTGGTAATGAAGGGTTGGTTGTGCTAAGAACATCATTGTAATTTGTACCATAAACATGGCATGGGAACCTGAATATAGAATATGAGAACTGTGGACTAGTCATGAGATGAGTTTGGGTTTTGTAGAATTTGTAAACTGGTATAAAACTGCACCGATGGTGGCAGTGTTGGTTTTGGGTCGTAAGTCAGTTATGCTATCTTCAGCAGCAGCAATTGATTAAACAAAAAGAAATTATGCTTATGACTCAATCATATGAAGTAATTGTGATCATTGGTCAATGAGCTTGTATATATTTTACCTTCAGCCAGTACTGATAAAGGATAAACTGGAATCCACCATGTGTGTTTAAGCCATGTAACGGGAGGATAGTTCATGCCTACTGCTGTTAACATGTAGTATGAGTATCTGTGCCAAGGAAAGAAGAGACATTACATTAAATGGAGAAAACTATCTAACATAAACCATGCTACAACCACTCCAAGATTCCACAAACATATAAAGTATGACTAGGTCTACAGTGACGCATGAAATGAACCATTCATTAAGTGTGTGTGTGTGTGTGTGTGTGTGTGTATATTTCTGGATCTTTTCTTTCCCAACATAGTGTGTGACCCTCTTTATGTCTCCGCTTGTACATCACTATCTATGCCTCCTTGTGTGTCATTCTCTATGCCCCTTGTCTGTGGTCCTCAATCAGAAAAGGGCCATAAGCAGGTTACCGATTTGTAGCACCCTGTCATTCTTCACATAGGGATGGTGAATAGGGATAAGACGATTTATGGTTCAAGGACCCCTACTTAAAACATGGGCCCTAGGCAGTAGCCTATGATTAATCCTGCTCCGTCCTCCATGTCAACCTTTTGTGAGCTATTCTGCATGCCCAACATTTTTAGTGTTATTTACTAAAGTAAGAATTAAAAATGTAAGGTCAAAATAGCCAAAGCAGAAAAAAAATCTGTAAGTCAGCTATACTTCCAGTTTGGCCGCTTTGGACTTAAATTTGACATTTACTTTTATTTCTCAATTTAGTGATTAATCGTGTGTGTGTGTGCTAGTCTCCATTCCCCCTTTTGCATATAACTCTACATGCCTTTTGTATCCTGCTTCATGCAAACCATAATGTGCCCTATGTGCCTCTCCACTACCCCCATATGTCAGTAACAATCTCCCCTTTAGTGTCCATTCAGTGACAGCATTACTGTGCTCCGCGTGGAATAAGGCACAGTATGTGCTGATAGGGCAGGGACAAAACTTCTCAACCTCACTCACACATTGGTTGTTGCTGTGTGGTAGGGCTGCTCTCCATGTACTCCCTGTGCAGGCCCTGAAACAGGCTCAGCCTGGCAAACAATATCATACCAGAAACTGTGACTGATAGCCACCATAATTGATGATGATATAGTTTTTGTTCTCACATACTTCCCATCGGACTCAGTGTCTCAAATCACAGGCATCATATTTGTTTGGTCTAAAGAACCAGTTGTTATCTACTTATAACCAATACATCACATATTTTACTTCCATATAATTACAGAACCAAAAACTGCAACACACCTAAAATGGTAGTACACAATTGCTTATTCGTCACACCCTGGAATATGTTTTAAGGGTACATTACAAGCCCTCATTAAACATCAAACATTAAAGGCACAGACTGTGCTTACGCTGCAATTTGCATTAGCAAGTTCTTTTGTAATACAGAAATGTTTGTATTTCAGTTAATTGGTTTGTTGGATAAACATTGGATATGGGGAACAATAGTGAGCAAACATTAAATCCTTAATGTTATTAGTTTAAAATATATTACCTTACAACATCCCACATGTTCCATAGGAAGAACAAAGCACAGACTACACATTTACTCTGCACCTCCTCCTGGCTGGTGATGACCACAAATAGGATGACAAGCCTTTCGGTTACCTAAAATGGAAAGGAATCTGTCACTCACATAGCTCACCACTTTTAGAATGGTTAAATAGTTCACACAAGGGTTGTTCTAAGATTAATGTATCCAATCCATTATGCATACTGTGTTAGAACATATACATTCGACCTGCTCCCTTCCTTGCCCATATAGATGGAGACACACATATAATTCTGCAGATGCACACTTGGACTATAGAGAGACAACTCAATATAATAAAACTAGACCCTCTGAATCACTGTGCTAAAGGGATAGGGTTGTTTGACTATCTGAAATAGAGATACATAAGAAAGATATAAATTTCACATGCTTAACCACTGTAATAGTTTTTGTTTGTTCAAATGTTAGATTTAGCACCGATATGACAATGCCATTTAAGCATTCAGAAATAAAACTGTTTTAAAATTCATACATAATTTGGTCCGCTTGGCTTGAGAATTACCACACTGACAGTGTTCATCTCCTCTTTTCAGAAACTCATCCATTTTAATGTTAAACACTCCATTAATTATATGAACTAGACAGAGCTTTTCTCGTATATAATATCCATTTGCCCGGTAACATCTCACTATCTCTAATTTCTCTCTTCTTCCGACACCTGCACCTATTTCCTCTCTTCCTCATCTAACTGTGGTCTTATCATTTTATGTGGTCACCGCACCTTCTTTGCACTATTTTAATTTTTCATCTTCCTGTTTGCTGTTGACTTATTGTCAATAAAGGAGTCTAAGCGGATATGATGTAATTGATTACACTGGGTCTTGATCAAAATTTCCACCCTCCTCACTCTTCCCTGCTATATTTAACCAATGTTTAGGTATGTTTTTTTTTGTTTGTTTTTTTAAGTATCCCTAATTAAATTACAGATTATGGCACCCATTTCTTTATTAGATTTTCATAACCACGTTGTCTCATTCTCCTACATGAATGTTGTGCATTTTACTTAACTGTAGGAATATATAGTATACAAAGGAAGTACTTAAAAGTATTAATTCTAATGTAGCCAGTTATTTGGAGCAAATTCACTTCCTAATCTAAAATATCTTCTTGTTTTTTTATTATTATTAGTTAGAATATAATATAAATATTATTACTTCTAACAGGGAGCAGAGGGCTCCTAAGCAGGAGTTTCCATTAGCTCTGTTGAGCTAATCCCCATAGTGCAGTGCTAGCACATTAGCTGAGCATCGATGGGCTTAGCCCAGACATTGAGCTTCCAACTCTGTCTGAAGTAGTGAGACTGGAAGTGGCTTCTGGTGGACCCCAAGTGTGAAGTGAAATCATTCTAAAATGGTTTGACAACTTACAATAGGTGGTGCCAGAGCATGCTGTAATGGCTCTTTAAAAAAATGTCTTGGCAACCTTTGACTTTAGATTTTCTTCTCCCACTGTGGGCATACTGTATACAATTAGCAGCTATAAATATAGGTTACTATAGCAAAGATAGTATAGTATAGTACTATAGTACAAAAACATACAATCCTCATTAGTAGAAGGCACTGCCCCAGCTTGCTCAACACTGCAATTTCCATTGCTTCTAACTGATATTACCCAGTTCTATATAATTGTATTTACCTGGATTTATTCACTAAATTCCAAATGGTAGTCAATTGATATCTGAATGGAACAATTCTGACATAAATAAATTATCTGGAAAATTCTCCAACTCCGTTTTAGTCAGAGCTGAATTAGTTTTGCGATATGGATTTATTTATGGAAGTAGTGAATAACCGCAACACTATGCAGACTGTCTTTAACACATCAATAACTAAAACCAATAGAAATGTAACTATTGTACCTGTAAAAAACTTGGCAAGAATCGGTGTTGTTGGTTGCCCAGCAGTGGGAGTATCAGCTCCAGTGCAGACAGTAACTGGCAGGCCTGCATTACTAGCCCGATTGTGTAGAATGTATCAGCAAAGGAATCTGCATGGACCAAGTAATATGCATCAATTAGCACACAGAACACAGCCACAGTACTTGCTAAAGTGCCTTATGTGTGAAGAGTGAGTCCTCTTTTTTTTCATTTTACAAAAAGTGCAGATTTCCAGAAATTGACACTTTTCTAAATTAAACTTGTCACACACCCTGGCTTTCAATAAGACAATATGGTAAGGCACTGCCTAGGCTGAGTAAGCAGTAACTCGGCTAACCAGGTGAATTTAATGTTTGAAACATGATGGATTGAAAGTAAGGTACATTAACAGCAGATACAGCCTATATTTACAATCTAAGTGCCTCTATGCACAGAGAATGTGCAAATCAGGTGGAGATGTGACATCATTATCTTTCTTTGCCCTTATCAATATGCCCTTAGATCCTCTAGAGTATGGAATTTCTTATCCTTAACTGGGTGCAGGAAGCTTTATCTCCTGATCACTTAAAGGAACACTATAGCGTTAAGAATGCAGACAGGTATTCCCAAGGCTATATTGTTAGCCCACATTTATCTCTACTCATTTGCCGTGCTGGTCTCTGTGCTGGTGCCCCACCTACTCAGCTGACATCATCAGTCTTGGTGATCTTGGCTAGTGTGTATGTGTGGCAAATCCTGCCAAGCCCTCACGTGATTATATGTCTATAATGTAAGAAAGTATTGCACGTATCAAGAATTCTTATATAATATGTATTTTGTACATCAAACTGATATTTTCTAATTACTGGTGGTGTAAAGAAACCACACATTTAGCTCGTTAACTTGGCTTTTTCACGTTCGGTAGATAAAACTACCGAACACCGACCACCCCCTGGCTCAATAACCACAAAGAAAAAAATGCAGATTAAGTGCTCTCCCTGTGTGTCCGCCGTTTGTATGGCCGAATGCCAAGTGCTGGAAAAAAACGGCGGCCATCTTGTCTCACGAAATGAGGTACAAGGACTTGGTGTCTGGACCTAAAATTGGACACACGACTCCAGAATTTGTTCGGTTTTTAGACTTCCTGTAATGTACCGACCGCTACCTCTGAAGCTGTGGAACTGTTTTAAACATAAGATCTTGTGTGCGGTCGGTCAAATTATGACCTTCATGGAAATCCCGAACCCCTGAACTGATCTCAGTGATTTTTGAATATGTTGGTCCCCCAGATCGGGGTTATCAGAGGATATAACTTGTGTGGGGTTTCCATGGGGCTTGAGATACTTTCAAAGTTTTGTGGAAATGTATGTTTTTTTGTGCCTGGAGATAATTGAGTTTAGTACAATCCTTGACTCAATTATCTTCCAAACACAGGGGAAGGATTATCCTATTTTATGTGGGAGTGTCCTGGACCTGAGAGCCAATGTACTTCCAGTGTGTACTTTGCCATAGTCCCCTCTCAGGTCCAGTGGGGAATGCCTCTGGAATATGTCACGGTAAACCCCTTGCATGGGGACATGCATAAAAACCGTCCAGTTGGTCTGAAAAAAATTCATTCCTGTTGTACCTTTCATCTAGTCTAGGCTGATGTTTGGATATCTGTCTGATTTGCTTGGTGAATTTACTTGTATTCTGTATTTCTTCTGGAGAACGTTCAAATCAACACCCGAACTGCGTGCTATAATTACTCAGCTCCTAGCAGTTAGGGAGGAAACAAACAAACGGGTATCTGAAATACCAGTGTTCATTACAGATGGGTAAATACTTGTTTGGGAAATCACAATGCTAGTTTTTTTTTCCCAGTTTTTTTTTTCTTCATAAGATCCTCATGAGCTAAACTGCTGAAAACATGAATTAGGCATATTTTAAGTACATATCATATACACTATATATCGGAAATAGTTTTTTCTCTCTGTAATGGCACAAGATGAGCTAAAGCCAGCTTGAGATCTGAGCGGGGACCCACCCAAGGGCAGGCTATTTCAGCTACTGCCTCTTCTCAGTATTCTCTTGCACCCCGTTTTTTGCTTTTTCTATGATGCCCTGTCTTAATTCTTCTCATGGGAACTGCCTGGTTGACACGGTATTCCACAAGCCGAATGGGTCGATTTTGCATGTGACCCACTTGCAGTCAGTCTAATGGAAGCTGCTTGCTTGCAGAGCGCGTCCATATGTAAATCTGAGGCATGCTTAGTCACTTCCGGTTTGCAATTGACCACATTATTCTGGCGGCCTCTTTCCCACACTTTGTGGGTTTGCAGGGGTGATATGGACCTGTCAGTTCACACCTGTTTTAGCTATTTTGACACCATTCCTTTTGCCCTATTGTGGTTTCTGTTCTAGTACCCGATTAGCACGTTTATATTCCTGTTTTTGGTTTGACCTTGACTTGTTTCTGGACTTTGAGTACCTCTGTGACCCTGACCTGCCTAGTTAATATGATAATTGAAATTCATGACCTTGGCTTTTTAATTGAACATGATTTCTCTCTTTTACATGTTAAGCACTGCCACTTAAGGTCCAATAATATGTCTATGCTTTGTCATTTTTAATTATTGCAGGTTCTGAGTATTTGGGTATACTCACCCTGACAGTTCTCCTCTATACTTTTTCCTTGTTATGTTTCATTTGACACACATAATATTTTAAGATTGTAAGGTCACATGCCATCTTACTTAGCACATTGAATAAAAGTACCGCAAATATTACAATAAAGTCTACAAGCAACGCTTTCTACTCCCATTAGAGAGAGAGAGGTCTTATATTTGGGGATACTTCCCCTTTAGTAAGTTACACGTGAATACATATATATATATATATATATATATATATATATATATATATATATAGTAAAATTACCTTTTCCAAAGAAGAGAAGTCTTGCAGTCATATTAGTGAAGATCCAGGAATGACCACAGAATTGTAGCAGGTAGTATAGAGTTAGAGAAGTAGTCATCTTTACTCTGTTTACACGATACACTGGGAGATCAAAAAAAAAAAGATTGCAGTTTCAGCTTTTGTGACTTTGGAGAAGTTTAAACTTTTTTTTTAACCCAAAAAATATTAAATCATTACCAGTTATTTTTAGAGAGACCGAGCAAGAAAAACATGCAAAGAAAAGTTAAAAACACACCAAATTCATACAGAACAGCACGTTCCAAAAATACACTGGACGTATTACAGCAACTTAAGCAAAAAGTATCTGCACTGACCACAGTTGGAAGTCATTTAGCCATGCTTTAAAGCATATTTACTACCTATATCATGCCCTAATAAGAGATTTGGGGTTCGCAGGCAACTAAATCGGAAGAATAGTTATATTGGAAAAAGGATAATTATTTTCTCTAGTCAACAGATGTATTTTACTTAATCAGCAAATAGGGAGGTTTTAAATTCATAATTCGTTTTAAAGTAGAGAATACAATTTGGTGGATGTTGGAAACAATGGGATAGGAGAATTTCCATAAAATGTAGTCAAATGAGTGTGCTGTATAGCTCTCCCCGCCTGCTTTTTTAACACCGAACCATATTTTCACTTTCTACTTATCTGCATGAAGACCCTTTAAACCCATGCTACTGTAAGATTCTGGTAGCGTATTACGTAAAATCAATGGGCCACTATTAATAAGCCAGATGCAACTTAGCAATTATTGCTGATCTCTGATAATGACAGTGTTACAGGTTCTGTCACATACTATGTAAACACGGTTCCCTAATTATGTGTGCCTTTTACCCAACACGTTATCCTAAAGAAAATTACTGTATCAGTCTGAACAGGGAAAACACCCTGCAGCTACAATTCCTATTTAAAAGATGTCAGACATCTTCTGCCTGTTAGAGCAAAACCCCATTGTACGTGATTATTCCCTATCCTTCAAGCACTAGCTGGAATCCGGCCATCCTTTAGATAAGGAAATGACTAAGTGGGACTTTCATGCTACTGAAAGTTCATTTTCTTTTTTCCTGTAATTGTAACTATTTTGGTGTTTCCAAGCATATATATTTCAAACGACATTGAGCAGCTGCCACGGTATGAAAAAGTGTTTCAAACAGAACATAGATAATTCAACATTTCTTTTATAGGAGATGTTACAAGTTATCATTCTTATTTTGCATGTAGTGATTGAACACTGTCACAAATCCTGGACAAAAATTTAAATATGATTATGAAGTTAGGGACCTTATAACTCTTGCCTAGGCCTGTGGTTTTCAATAATTTTGCTGGTTTATGCTGCTATGCATCAAGCTGCTAGACTTCTGCGGGGTGAAAAAACTTGTTTGGGCCAAACCACTTAGTTAAAAATTTTTTTTATAAAAACACAAAATGTGGGCATTCCGAATTTCGGCCATGTGGCAGTTCAGCTTGTCCAAATTTTGTTAACAAAGAAAGATTTGGAAGACAAATCAGACGATTCAAAGGGGAGCTTAAATGGGCCAATCAGGGAGCTGTAAAATATACACAAATTGGTTTACAGGTCAAGTGAGAATAAGTAACCAATAGAGGGAAAAGAGTAATAAATCTATCGTTATTTATTCTTTATTAAATATATAAATACATCTGTATATCAATTTTTTTCCCTCATCCTCCCATTTAGTGGCTATCTCCTAGTCATCAATCATCCTTTTTCCCATCAGGGTTTCTCTTTTTTCTGGTGCCACAGGTGGAATTCTGAATCAGGAATCAAAACATACATGCACATCCATTGCATGTTGAGTTTTGTTCATATTTCGGCTTGGAGTTTGGGTAATCCAATCAGCCCAAATTTGGATAAATTGCAGTTTTGGAATGAACAATTTTTCAAGTCTACAAGCTATCTCAAAGTGCGCCTTTAACAAATTGACTCCACAGTGTAAAAGGTTCAGTGCAATGCTTAAAATGGGTCTTTAATTCAGTTTCTATACTTGTTTTGATTATCTATCTATCTATCTATCTATCTATCTATCTAATTGTGTGTCTATACTACTTTACATGCTAAATCTGCTTTTCTAAATTTCTTATTTTCTAGTCATTTTCATAATCTTTTATTTTTATAATTTAAACGGAATATGTTCTATGTATCAACTTGTAACCACAATTTGATATCTGCACCACTCTTTGTGGCCCATAAAATAGTAAAACTCTGTTATCCCTTTGTTTCTCAATAAAATACTATTTTGTAATATTAAAAATAAAATAGTTTGGCCCTAAAGGGATTAATTTATTTAAAATAAACCCTTGTAATAAAAATAATATATTTAATGGTGGCACCCTAATTTCGTCTTGTATATTAAATACTAAAATATGACTATTCAATTATTCTAAATTCTTACTGTTGCTTCACATTTACACGCACATGACTGCTTCCTTTGAGCTATACATTCATAAGAAATCTACATCTATTAACATGTGTATTACTCTCACCTGTACCTATTAACATGTATACATGTCAGTTGTACTTGTTAGTTTAAATATGTTTCTTCTGTGGCAGTTGTACAAATGCATACATACATTCCTCCTGTATCAATAGTTAATATACATACATTCCTCCTGTATCAATAGTTAATATACATGCATTTCTCCTTTATCAATAGTTAATATACATGCATTCCTCCTGTATCAATAGTTAATATACATGCATTCCTCATGTATCAGTAGTTAATATGTATACATTGCTCCTGTATCAATAGTTAATATGTATACATTCCTCCTGTATCAATAGTTAATATGTATACATTCCTCCTGTATCGGTAGTTAATATGTATACATTCCTCCTGTACCTGTTAATATAATATATATACATTGCTCCTGTATCGGTAGTTAATATGTATACATTCCTCCTGTATCAATAGTTAATATGTATACATTCCTCCTGTATCGGTAGTTAATATGTATACATTCCTCCTGTACCTGTTAATATAATATATATACATTCCTCCTGTATCGGTAGTTAATATGTATACATTCCTCCTGTATCAGTAGTTAATATGTATACATTCCTCCTGTACCTGTTAATATAATATATATACATTGCTCCTGTATCAGTAGTTAATATGTATACATTCCTCCTGTATCGGTAGTTAATATGTATACATTCCTCCTGTACCTGTTAATATAATATATATACATTGCTCCTGTATCGGTAGTTAATATGTATACATTCCTCCTGTATCAGTAGTTAATATGTATACATTCCTCCTGTACCTGTTAATATAATATATATACATTGCTCCTGTATCGGTAGTTAATATGTATACATTCCTCCTGTATCAGTAGTTAATATAATATATATACATTCCTCCTGTATCAGTAGTTAATATAATATATATACATTGCTCCTGTATCAGTAGTTAATATAATATATATACATTCCTCCTGTATCAGTAGTTAATATAATATATATACATTGCTCCTGTATCTGTAGTTAATATGTATACATTGCTCCTGTGTCTGTTAATATAATATATGTACATACATTGCTCCTGTATCTGTAGTTAATATGTATACATTGCTCCTGTGTCTGTTAATATAATATATGTACATACATTGCTCCTGTATCTGTAGTTAATATGTATACATTGCTCCTGTGTCTGTTAATATAATATATGTACATACATTGCTCCTGTATCTGTAGTTAATATGTATACATTGCTCCTGTGTCTGTTAATATAATATATGTACATACATTGCTCCTGTATCTGTAGTTAATATGTATACATTGCTCCTGTGTCTGTTAATATAATATATGTACATACATTGCTCCTGTATCTGTAGTTAATATGTATACATTGCTCCTGTGTCTGTTAATATAATATATGTACATACATTGCTCCTGTATCTGTAGTTAATATGTATACATTGCTCCTGTGTCTGTTAATATAATATATGTACATACATTGCTCCTGTATCAGTAGTTAATATGTATACATTGCTCCTGTGTCTGTTAATATAATATATATACATACATTGCTCCTGTATCGGTAGTTAATATACACACATTGCTCCTGTATCAGTAGTTAATATACACACATTGCTCCTGTATCGGTAGTTAATATACACACATTGCTCCTGTCCTGTAGCTGTTAACATGTATAAATCGTGGTTAGGAGGATGCTCTCTCCAGCTCTCCTCCTCCCCCCTACCCTCACCCCAACACAGAATAGCTCAAAGAATGTCACAGTCCAAACCTACCAGGAGCAGCACACAGGCTCGCACAGGTCCAGCTGCTGGGAAGATGTGCTCTTCTCTCTGTCTGCCCTGAGCTCTGAATCAGGAGGGCTGTCCGGGGTCAGCACTCTGGGTGGCTGTGAGAAGCAATGTGGCTCCTGGCTTTGTTGCTAGTTGTAGGGAATCCAGCTCAGTGTGCACACTCACAATGCATGCAGTGTCACCATGCAGTATCCAAGCTCCGGCTTGTGGTAAAGTTTGCTGCTGGGTGGAAGAACGAGACGCCCACTAACCAAAATCTGCTCACTAACTCCCCTCCTCGTCTTTTTTCCCTCTCCGCCTCTATTTTCTATAACTTTGTATTGGATTAAACTCCACTCCCTCTGGTTTAGAAATATGAAGTATTCTACTCTCAGTGTAAATAAATAAAGTTATGACAGCATTGGGCTGAGCTAAACAACATACCAAGCATTGCTGGATGAGTCAATGGCTCAGTTTGTTACACTATTTCATTCAGCTCTTAGTGGACACGACTTGTTGCACTGACTGTGTTACTGTGTTACACACTTAAACAATTTGTTTTATGTGGCTTGAGTCATTTCCTTCCCTATCATATCCATTTCCATCTCGGTTCAGTTTGAGCAATAATCTGTCATTAATAGGGGAAGAATGTCACTGATCTGCTTAACCATTTCTTTACCAGCCAGGTCTGAAAAGACACTGATTGGCATTGTAAGATTTCTACCGATAAATAGAGAGCTGTGGTATATTAATTATTATTTTATTATTTATATAGCGCCATCATATTCCGTAGCACTGTACAATGGGTTAATGACCCTCATTTTTTTTTTTATTGATGACTGGAGTCGGAGATGCAGCTGGTTTGAAATAGGGTACAACATCTCATATCATAACATTTCCCACTAAACCATCTTGGTTTCAGTTTGTTTCTTTTATATTTATTACCCAATGGTACATACTGAGTAACGTACCTTCCTAATACATGTTTGAAGATATTCTATTTATCCTCAGTGTTTTGTTTTTTTTCCCTAAAGAGTTGATGTCAGTCAACATGTTGTAAAAGGTGCACTTATCTTATTGAAATTAGCCTTTTTTTGAAATATGTTTTAGTATACCCCACATGCTTTTTTGAGTTTATTTCAAAAGACACCAAATTGGGATACCCATTCCCCAAGTGCTCCCCTACTTGAATGTAGGTCAAAAGATCAGCATTTCACTCCACCTAACTGCTTTTAACTTGTACTATGCTGTTTTGCATTCTTTTTGCTTTCCTATACAAAGCATATATTGATCTCTTGATGATACTCAATACTGGTGGTTACACTATATTTGTCCTACTCAGTGTGGTCAGCTAGCCTAGCAAAGTAATTTCATTTTTACATCTTGTATATATGACACACTTGTTTGACTTACACCTGTCAAAGCTACACAATCAGACAACCTAGCTTGCATCTTACATGTTTTCCTCTTTGTCCCTCCTCTGATTATATATCCTACTTAAGCATAGAAAATCCTCAGACATACCTTATTAACCATAAAATTGTGCTGTTTCTTGCATGCCATAACAATGTTTACCCTGATCTACTTATTAGCTTGTACCTGCTGTTGTGGCAGCACACGCATGTTTGTAATTCTAAGCACTGCAAAAACAATAAAATAAAAAAAATAAAAAAAGATCAGCATTGTTTTTTATAACCAGGTGCTTGTGCTAGTTGGGACATGCAGGTATCATTTAACACATTCAAAAACCTGATTCCCCTTGCTCAACTACTAGTCCATCTATCCCAATTTATGTCATGGCAAATACAATATCCCGTAATTAACGTGTTACCCAGATTTGCCACTTTCCCAATTTGCTCTAATAGCTGGTCTCCCTCATCAATATTAACACTAGGTGGTTTATAACATTTCCTAACCAATAATAATTTTCCCTTCTTTTGCCCCAAACAGATATCTAACCATAACGCTTCCACATATTCCTCCTCACATTCCCCTTCCTAGTATTTGGGTTTAACTCATTGTTGACATACAAACATACCCCGCCACCTTTCTAGTTTTTTCTATAATTCTTAAATAGTGTAACCAAATAAGTTAGCTGCCCAGTCATGTGTCTCATCCCACCATGTTTTTGTTATGAATAAAATAAGAAATAAAGATCCTAAACGTACCAGGAGATAGCTTGCAGAAAATGCATATGAATACTTGCTGGATCTAAAATAAATTTTAAAAGGTTCAAGTGAGAAAATACATAAATGAAATACCATATAAAACACCAATATAAAAGCAATAATCAAACACTCAATGAGGGATGTCCAGGAAAAGTGTTGCCCCTACTGGGAATTGGGTAACATCAACTAAATGGGGAAAAGTACAACAAAGGCAAATAAAAACAAATAAAGCAATGAGATATGGAAATAAGGATGGACAGCTACTAAAATGTCACATCTAGATATAGATCAAAAGTCTTGAAGTTCAAAATAGAGATATCATGAAGATAAAATCCATATAAAATCACAATAGTGGAATCAGTACTGAAGATATCTATATGCAACAATGTTTCAACTAACTGGATGTTATGACATGTTATGAAGTAATAAGAGTTGCAGATTATCCAAAACTATACTCTGAAATATACTCTGAAATATAGAGTGTAAGATATATATCAAGGTATCGATAGCCGCAATAAAAATGTTGTAGTAGGTGGTGTATAATCACTTTTAGATCACAGCGACCGATCTAAAGTGTCTAGATCCTCACTGTGCTCTGAAAGAAAAAATTGACAAGCCATAGTGCTCTCCATAAAAACATAACAGTTTAATGTTAGAAGAGTAAAAGCACTCACATGTTAGCAGATTAAAAGCACTCACACGTTTTTGTTATGCCTATTATTTTATATTGCTTTATGTATGCTATAGTGTCCCCCATTTTGTTATTTAGGATCCTTGCGTACTTTAATATTGTCATTAGTCACTTGTACTTTATGTGAATTTCTATTTCTATTACATACCTCCTCTTTCCTGATATTGCCTCTTCCCCATCTCCACCCTCTTTGTGCTGAGCAAAATCCCATTTCATCTATGTGCTATCTCCATTTTGTAGTTTTCTTCGTCCTTCCCCCTCTACCACTAGCTTAAAATTTCCTCCACCCCTATACCATTCCGATTCCCCAGCTCATAATTCATTGGTGAAGACAATTCCTCTTATTTTCTCTCTGGGACAGTCCTCAGTTGTTCTGATGTCTAAGGGTAGAGAGGAACTAGCTGTACTTCCTGAACTGGTGGGCACTAACCCTCCTTCTTGATTGAATTCATCCCAAGGCATGAAGTTGTATGAGGAACTAAATGGACTTCTTCAGTTTAGAAGCAATTTATCACGACTCTAAAGGTTGTACCCACGTGCTAAATCAGCCCATTGCTCTGAAGAGCTAAAAAAAAAAAAAAAAAAGTTTCCTAGAGTATGACTTTAGCCATGCATTAAACTCCCTAGTCTCCCGCTGATTTTCTACTGTAGTGAGCAGCACCGTTAATATTTCTGAAAACACTACCTTGGAGGTCCTTTTCCTCTTCCTAAATCCCTGAACTCATTATTTAGGACCACAAATTACATCTGAATGTGTCATTGTTGCCAATATGGACCATGACAGGTTGGTCATCCCCAGCTCCTCCCAATAATCCATCCACTCTGTCAGCAATATGCTGGACCCGAGCACCCGAGAGACAGAGAATTTTCCAGTTGAGATGATCAGAGTGGCAGATTACACTATCTACTCTCTTAATAATAGAATCCTCTACCACCACAACTCGTCTGGTGTTTCTTACATTCTCAGTCCCACCCATACCAGAGGGGCTGTTCGAACATGCAACATATTATGACTAAAACATGTGCAGCTGTTTAGGAATTGCACTGAAACATTGGCTTACTTTATAGTGCCTACTGTTTTAAATCAGATGATTTGTGTACATAAACCATTCTATTAGCAAACATACATGTAGCAACATACGCGAGGACGTTAGAATGCTAGCCAGCAATTGAGAAAGTGTTGTTTGTGAGATAAAACAATTCTGGTTACTAAGAAATCAACATAGGCGGGATATTTGTTTCACACTGAGGACGCCAGAGGTAGTTTTGAGTGCATGACAACACCAAATCACTAATGTAACAGACCCCACCGGTGGTACTCAATGCTGAACGTACCCTTTGTAAGCTGTGTATGTAGTTTATTTTGCTATGCATTGCTAAGACATAATTGCCTTAAAAAAAAAAATCTAAATCCTGCAAGTCACAGCCTTCCAATAAACTTTTTTAAAAATACCTGTAAAGCCTATTATTCCATCTTTGTCTGTTTGTTTGTCAATCATGCATCCATGGAGTAAGCACATTTTAGAGTGGCCTTTTATTGTGGCCAGCCTAAGGCACACCTCTGCAATAATCATGCTGTCTAATCAGCATCTTGATGTGCCACACTTGTGAGGTGGATGGATTATCTCGGCAAAGGAGTAGTGCTCACTAACACAGATTTAGACAGATTTGTGAACAATATTTGAGAGAAATAGGCATTTTGTGTACATAGAAAAAGTCAGCTCATGAAAAATGGGGGCAAAAACAAAAGTGTTGCGTTTATAATTTTGTTCAGTGTATATATGTATGTATAACAAAAAGCACGGTTCTGCACCCACTCTTCAGCTATACTTGCCAAGGTGCTCCTCCAGCCTTTTAGCAATACATACACTCGAAAAATGTCACTCACTGGTATTCTTAATTTGCAAACTTTATTCACCAATGTTCAGTAACTTTACAGTATCATCAACGTTTCAGTCCTCATCCAGACTTTCATCAGCATGCTCTATATTTTTATCAGGAAGCCCTATATTTAACCCTGTATCTTTCCAAGATACCATAAAACAGTAAAATGTATCACGATTGTAAAATCTTTATTTCTTCTGTCTTTTTCCAGTTGATTTATATATCCGTCTTTTGTATATATAGTCTTGGGACAAAGGCTTGCACATTAATATACGTCTATATTAATGAAAAGTAGTAATACGCAATCTGATTTACGGTTTCTTCAGGTTTATTGATTGAGTAACGGATACATAATAAAACAACAAAGGATGTTACATGATCATGGATGTTCAACAGCAGATGGTAATTGCTGGACTCCTGAAGGAAGAATTACATCTTTACATAGCTGTACAGAAAGAAGAGCCGAGAGAGAGAGAGACCTCGTGTCCCCTTGTTCAGTTACTATTTGGATATGCCCATACTAATGTCAGAGTACAACTCTAGCCATATAAGGACAAGACCACCCACATTGCAGAATTCTCATACAAAGAAAGCCTTGTGGCTTATTGATACCATCTGTTACTTATGTCAATCCAGACATCCATAAATAATCAATAGAAACGCGAAATATGCAATATTCTACAACGATGATGATATCATGTGTGATATCAGCAGTGAAAGTGCAGTTTGTGTGTGGAAAAATGCAAAAACAAATATGAACATTAAACTTGGCATGCTGGGGGGTAATTCTCATACCTGGGCTGCCATACACAGTCTCAAAGGCAACCTAACTAATCTGTCAAATTTCAATGTATAAAAACTGAAATGGCCAAGTTTTATATTTGACCCTGTAACTCTTCAAAACACAATAAAACCTGAACATGCGGGGTACTGTTGAACTCGTGAGACATCGCTTAACACAAATATGTGTATTTTTATGCAGCAAAAGCTAACAGCATTATGGCATTCACAGTTAAAATGTCACGCAGAACTAAGAAAACACATTTTATAAATTTCTCACACTCTTTAGATTTTATTTATTATGTTTTATATGTAAATATTAGCTGTGAAATGAAAGCCCTGTTTCTCTTGAACAAAATGGTATCTAATAATTGTGGGTACGCTTAATATGAAAGAGGTAAATTATAAATTGAACAGACACACAACGCAAATTCCAGGTTTTGTTTTGGTGAGTACAAATTGTTACATCATTATGGGGTTACTAATGTTTTGGATAGAGAATTATATTTTATATTCAAAGTAATATGCATTAAAACAGAATAATGCTAGTTACTATTAAGTTTTGTTTCCATCAGTTTAAAAGATTTTAGCGAGGCATATGAAAAAAGTAAAAATGTCACTATCTGAAGCTGTACATCCTTGCGTGCAAAACGCCAGAGCTTTCAGTTCATACATGACTAATTTAAAACTAATTTTCCTATTTTTTGCACACAACCAAGGGAAATACTGCAAGGGAGAGATAAGAATTTAGAAAATGTAAAAAGCATGCTAGCTCAGCTTTTCAGAGGCCTAACGGAATTAAACCACAAATACTTCTTTCCATATTTTTCTGAAAAGGCCTGGCGTCTATTTCTTTTAAGTTTTTTAGAAAAAGATCATGGGAGACACACTTGTTTTCATTAAACGTATCTTTACTAACCTAATGTATACACAGACTGCCCACCGTAACTATATATATTTATTGGAAAGAAAATATAGGATTCAGTATTACTGCCAAATGCAATATCTGTTACCGCAATTATTAGTTTAGCTGCCAAAAGAGATTGTATGCACAATCACGCCGTTTGCCACCGTATGTTACCACTGCATGGGATCCTGGAAGTGCCAGTGTTAAATAGCATATGGGGGCAGCAAGAAGCTATCTTAGGTATATATTGCCTCAAGAACTCTTTCAAAGGGACAAGCTGATTTGATAGGTTTATTTATTAACATCAAGCTTGATCTTTTTTAAATTTGCTTATTGACTCCGTGTGTTATTATATTTTGTTAACCTCTTCCAGGGGATGAAAATATGGGAGTGGAGGAAATGTGGAAATCACAAAGGACACAGCAATTCACTTTGCATTATAGCAGAACTGGGGTAACAAGCCATTGGGCCCAAGGCATTCATTGTTTTAGTAGATGTGAATGATTGCATAATATATAAACAGCCCAATGTAGAACTGATAGTAAAAAAAACAAGCAATTTGTGTTTCCCGTAATTATGTAGACTTTCACATACAGTCTAGGTTTTATGTGTTATGAGCAAAGTCCTCATCAATCGATTCCTTTGCAGTTACCATAGAGCAGCGTTTCCCAATTGGTGTTCAGGGTTCCGCGGAACACTAATTGTAGTTCCGCCAAAAATTTTGAAAACAAAATGGCCGCGGGTGGCGAGTGAGCAGTGATCTCCAATGTTGATACTCTGTCAGAGGGTTCCACGGGAAAAAATAATTGGGTACCCCTGCCATAGAGAATGATAAAGCAACCCAGTGGCAAGTATGGGGAGAACATTACAGACATTTTATTATGCTGTGACATTGTGTCCTCTGAGTAATTAGCAACATTTTGAATTTCATGGATTGTAATTTTTGCTCCGAGATTGTAGTTTCAGTGCGTCAGTGGGAGGCGGAAATGTTTGTTCTTGATTTCTTATTAAGAAGACCCGCCTTTTCATAACTTGTCTTTCTAGGCTTGTAAGTGGTCACCTCATCCCTGGTGTTCAGCAGATGTTTGATGCGGTGTTCAAACGTCACAGATATTTTGAGCAGCCTTTATGTAACCATGCATGTTCTTTAATAAAGCTGAGGGCCAGAGGAAACATGATCTAGGCCTACAACAATACAGAGTAAGCATGACCATAATGGAGCTGCTTGAGATTTGTACAAAAGCAAAACTTAAAGCTCATTTATGCTATCTGAGACTGTGATTAAAGCAGACTCTGTGAGCAAACTTGATGTGTGACACCCAAAATGCAAACCAGCAAGGGATATACGCCATGCTACAAGCATACAATAATAACCAAAATAGTGGAACGGCACATACCCTGGAGGTGCCCAGTAACTTAGTGTCCCCCATACACCAGGCAAAGTCACAATGCCTAAGCATTTTGTTTTACTTTAGTCTTGTGAGCAGTGGTGTACCTAGGTTATTTGACTCCTAAGAGGGGATAAAATGTTTGTGTAGCGCACCATCCCACATTGTGTGTCTCTGCACCATATTTTGCCTCCTTGTGAGTGCCCCCTAACCCCTCTTGCTTGATTGTGTTTCTCTCCTAACCCTCTTAAAGCTTTTAGTCTCTTTTCACCCCTTACCTTTGTGTGCCTCTTAACTCCCCTCCTTACTCCTCGTGTCTCTCAATTCCACTTTACCTCTTGTGGGTATTTTTAAATTCCCTCTTACCCTATTATGTATCTCAACCACGCTTTACCGTTGTGTGTCTTTTAATCCCCCTTACCCCTTGTGTACCTCTCAAAACTCTTTTCATGCTTTGTGTATATCTTAAACCCTCTAAGCCTTTGAGTGTTGGTTAACCCACTATATCTTTTCCTTGCGTGTCTCTTAACCCCCACCCCACGGCCACTCTAGAATTGCAGTCCAGGTAGAGGAACATAGATTATCTGCCACAGTCAACCCACTTATGCTACAGTCGAGGTGGATGGTCCCCACCAGCCCCTATTAATATGCTACTGGTTGCAGGTAATCTAGCACTGCCCTAATTAGCCCAAAGTCAGTCAAAGGTGAGTCCTCACTATCCTGCAGTGTTCTGGTGTAGTTGCACTGGCTGTACCGCCAATATTTTTGCGTGTACTGTTATAAGACATAGATTATCTGGTAAGCAATCCTGAGCTGTAGGAGATTGCTTTTTGCATCAGTGCCTCAAGCTCTGATTGTTTAGAGGCACTTAGCCTGCAAAAACTGTCATGGAATTCAAAAGACCTCCTTACTCAGCTCTGCATCCCCTCGCTGCTTCAAAGGAGTGTATGGTCTGCACCTCTTTTGAGTGCAGATTACTTTAAGAGCTTCCTTATAGTCCTTATGCTTCTCCAATGACTCCAGCATCCTGAGTCACGATCTTGTGTGTGAATATCTTTAACAGGGTTATTTACTAAAACATAAATTCAAAGTGAATTTCACGTGCAAAGAAAGGGTGAGAGTCTCTCAGGACCCCCTCCCATAAAGCTCATCAAGCAGTCCCAAGGGAAATGTGTAAATAAAAGTAATCTAGAATCTTAACGAGGTGCATTGAGATTCTGACCATTGTAAGGAAAGGTAAAGAGGATGATTCATTCGTCATCTTGGGTAATTCAATGAGGTTGAATATGACCTTTAAGCACAATGAACTTATGGACACAGATTTCTTTTTACAGGAATGGAAAAAATGAAATGACAAAGTTCATTATCCAAATATTATTAAACAAAAACGCATAGAACCCAAGGCATGGTGTACATAAAGGAACATGAACTATATCCCGGCTTTAGTTGCAAAACGCTTAACGTTTTCATTTACATTTGCTTTTTTTGTTTTGTTTTGTTTTTATTGAAAATGTAGAAAAGACCAATACATTGTGCAAAGAACATATACTCACAGATTTAGATTTATATAAATGTAGATGGAAATATTGTCGTATACAAAATCCTTTCCTATATGGAGATTACTAAGGTGATAATCTATTGATAAGTTGTTAATTGTTATTGGCAGGTGGGAGGGGTTTCTGGATGGCGGTATTGCTTTAACTATTACTTTCTGTATAGGTTATATACTGCGACAGATGCTCTGACATTTTTCACATGATCAATTTAAGGTTTTTGGTTTAGTCTTACCAGATATCTCTGCATTGTGTAATTTTACCAGCTAATCTGTAAAAACCCCTCTTCCATTCGACACTGGTAGCCGACTGGAGTAACTATTTCTGAAGGGGCTTTCCATTTTCTGGCAATAGTTAGACATGTATGTTCTATTCTGCATTTATGAAACAGAAATAACTGTGGTGATAAGACAATTTCCTGCATGCACATTGCCACCAAGATGTTGGTGATTCTTCTCTTCTGCGAGAACCTTGCGCTCCCACCACGTGTACAATCTGCCATCAGATTTCGAACGTCTCCAAAAGATATTTGGATAATTATGTTGAAATTTCTTGATTCTTTTAGGAATTAAGTAACACCTATGCATAATCTTAGACATTTTTTTTGCAGGCTTAAACTAGTAGAAGGCTTTTTAACCTGCATGAAAACCACTCCCCACATATTAATTGAAAAGATTTCCAAAAATCGCTTTCCCATTTATTTATAGACTGAGGTTTATCTACTTCTTTGAAGCTATACATAAAATGTATAGTCCTAGAAATAGGTTTTTGGTTTTTTAAAATGCATTTTTCACGTTTCCCAAATTCAGAATATTTTTCAATTCCCATTTTAGTGATTAAATGTTTGATTCTAATAGAACTGTAAAGTTCGTTTTCAGGTAATTCAAACAAAGTTAGTAAACTAGAGAACGATAACATCATGCCAAAGGGAGCAATTTGAGATATATTGTGAATAGTACATTCTCTCCATTTAGCCAGATTGATATCTTAAATGTAAAACTGAAGAATTACTGTGATGGTAAAAGGAAGTAGTTAGTTAGAAATGTTATGTTTTTTTCTTAAATTGTCTCAGGGCTATTATTATATCTCTGACTATTGGGTTAGGGGTCAAAAAGGTATTCTACTGATCTGAGTCTACCCAGGCCAGGTTGAAGAGAGGTATTTTCAGGAAATGAGTAAACATGATGTTATCATGTAACTCTTTTATATTGGGAATATTTATTCTACAATTCTACGTTCTTCTGGTTTATGTACCATACGGTACTCTAGGTAACCTATTCCCCCCCAAAAAGTTCATAATTGCTTTCCAGAACTGGACGCTAAGAGTTATTGATTTAAACAGATACATTAATTTTAGTAAAATAAATGCATTGATTGTATTTATTCCTTACCATGAGATTTGCAGACCCTTCCACTTGTAAAAACATTTTTTTTTTAAATTCTTTATTTTTGTTGTGGTATTAATCATACATCAGAAGGTGAAATAATTATGCAATCAATATCCAATTTAATAGTAAATAAGTAAGAGTAACACGCACGGGTATTGACAAATAATAGATAACATGCGATAAATTAACTTGTGTGAGACTGAACGAAAGTAATAGAGTATAAAATAAAGCGTCCCTCTGGGGCCAGGGTGAGGGTGAGTGTACTAACGAGATACACACTCGGTGCTATAATGTGCACTTGCTCGGTAAGCACTGCTTCTGGGCAACTCCAGACAGGGAGATTGGCTGCCACTTCCGCCTAATGCGCACTAGACCGCATTTGCCAAAGTGGGGTCAGTGAGCTCCCAAGTAATCACCAATCGCTACACAGCATGTCATATAGGTTGGGGAGCAGTCTCCACACTGGATTCGTCTCTAAGAATGCTCAATGAAGGTGCAGATTGTGTATTTTATCAGGATTATGGAGGAGCCAGCTCAAGGCGTATCTCTCCATCATCACAGTCAGGCCCCATCCCATACCCATTTTTATTTTTTAATATATTTGTTTTTCTTTTTATATTTCAATTTGTTTTTTTTTTTTAAATATTTGATATAACTTGAGAGGTGTTTAAATTTTGAGTTATTTTATTTATATTTTCCTGTTTGAACAAAGAGATATAAAGATTTATTTTTTTCATTAAAATTTGCCTGATTGGTTACGTTGCCTTTGAAACCGTAAGGTAGCCCAGGATTGAGAATTATTACTATGATGGCATACCATTTGCAAAAGTAGACAGGCCAAGGTATTGCAAATGGCCACAACATCTGGCCAAAATTAGCGTTCAATGTAGTTTTTTGCCTTTTTCACACAAAAACAAATATGAATGCTAACTTTGGCCAGTGTTTGTGACTAAGTGGCTACTAGAAAAGACTGGTCATAACCCATTTGTAATACCTTGGGTTGTCTACTTTTGCAAATGGTATGCCATCATGGGGGTAATTTTCCTGGGCTACCATACGGTCTCATAGGCAACATAACCAGTTTGGCTTTGTGTATAAACTGAAAAATGTAATGTGCTATATTTGACCCTGTAATTTTCCAAAACCCCATAAAACCTGTACGTTGGTGGTACAGTTTTACCCGTGAGACATTGCTAAATACAAATATTTGTACTTTATTGCAGTAACAGCTAATTGTGATATTCACAGTTACGTCATGTAGAACTAAAAAAAAAAAAAAAAAAAAAAAATTCTTAATTTCTAATTTTTAAAAATATATTATTCATATTATGTTTAATATACAAATATTTGATGTGACTTTAGACCAGGGCCATCGTACTAGCATAATAGCAATGCACTTGGGCCTTGCCTATGCAACCACAGGAATAAAAAAAATAAATTATGGATAACATTTGGCTTATATATATTGGTACCTCCAACTAATACAATACATACACAGACAGACAGACTGCTGAATACACACACAGGCTGCTGAATACACGCACACACACACACACACACACACACACAGACTGCTTAATACGCACACACAAACTGCTGAATACATACACGCACACAGACTGAATACATACACACACACAATGCTGAATACACACAAATACTGGCTGCTGAACACACATTCACGTACTGCTGAACACACACACAGACAAACTGCTGAACACACACACACACAAACAGACTGCTGAACACACAGACAGACTGCTGAATACACACAGACAGACTGATAATGAATACACACACACAGAGACTGCTGAACACACAGACAGACTGATGCTGAATACACACACAGACAGACTGATGCTGAATACACACACAGAGACTGCTGAATGCACACACAGAGACTGCAGAATACACACAGACAGACTGCAGAATACACACAGACAGCTGAATACTCTCCCAGACTGTTGAATACATACAAACTACTGAACACACACACACACGACTCACAGACTGCTGAATACACACACACACAGACTGCAATATGGGGTGCAGTGAGTGTGTGTAGAGCATTAGTGTGTGTAGAGATTCAGTGTGTTGGGGTTGCAGTGTGTGTAGGGGTTCGGTGTGTGGGTGTGCAGTGTATGTGTGGTTGGGGTGCTGTGTATGTGGGGGGGGTGCTGTGTGTGGAAGGGGTGCTGTGTGTGTGTGTGCTATGTGTGGAGGGGGTGCTGTGGGGGTGCTGTGTAGGGGTTCTGTGTGGGTGCTGTGTGTGTGGAGGGCATGCTGTGTGTGTGCGTGAAGGGTCTTCTGTGTGTATGTGGAGGGATGCTGTGTGTGTAAGAAGTGCTGTGTGTGTGTAAAGGGGGTGCTATGTGTAGAGGGGGTGCTGTGTGTGTAGGTGGTGCTGTGTATGGGGTGGTGTGCTGTGTGTGGGGGGGTTCAGTGTGTAGGGTTCCGTGTGTGCTGTGGGGGTGTGGAGAGGGTGCTACGTGTATGTGTAGAGAGGGTGCTGTGCGTGCGGGGGTGGTGTGTATTGTGTGCTGTGTGTGTTTGTGTGTGTGTGGGGGGGGTTCAGTGTGTGTAAGGGTGCAGTGTGTGTGTATGTAGTGGTTCTGTGTTGGGGGTGCAGTGTATGTAGGGGTGCTGTGTGTGGGGACGGTGCTGTGTGTGGAGGGGGTGCTGTGTGGTTTCCTTTGACATTTTTAATATTTCCCACTTTCCCTTCTATCTTCTACCCCCATTTTTTTTCTTTCCTTTCTGTTTTTCCCTCTTCCCTTCTTATTTCTATTTGCCCTCCCTCTCTTCCTTCCTTCCGAAAAAACCCCCAGAGTATCAGACCCTTTCCTTATTTTATGCTTTTCTGCTCTACGCCTATTTTCATTGACATTAACTCCTTTCCTCCACGAGATCTCTTATAAATCTTTATTATGAACGAATGTTTGTGTAGTGAATAATGTATGTAATAATTGGTGGAAACAGGTGAGTAATAATATACTTTCTCTATTTCCTTTACCCATTAACCCATAACCCTTATGTCAGTAATCGATAAATTCCATTATTAAATAAATCTAATTGTAATATTTCTTCCAAGTCAAATATTTGAGTTTCTAGGTATTGGATTTTAGATTTTAAGTGGAGATTTTCTGATTGTTTTTCTAAGAAATCATTCTGGATTTTTTTTTACCAGTAAATCAAATTGTTTGAACAGTTTTTCATCTAGGCTGGCCACTTAATTTGTCAAATCAGTATTGTATGATCTTTTTTAATTCTTCTATAAAAGTTTTCAATCATGGCTGATAAGGAATCTTGGGAAAATGAAAGGGTTTGTGCTCCCTACAGACTCACACCAAGCTCCTTTGGTGTATTTTTAGAGAATTCTGAGGTTTAGATGAGCAAATATATATTTATGGATTTATTTTTATCAGATCCAAGAGTTTTATCTTGCTTAGGTGCTATGTTGGGGTGGGGGAAGATTCCAGGTCAAGTTTAGATAAGTCATCAGTTTAAGAAGTGTTCTAAAATAGATTCATTTATTTTTTTCCTTTTTTTCTAACTCTCGCTCCTTTTTTATCCTTTTTCTTTCGTCCTCCCTTTTTTCCTTCATGTATATTATCTATTTATATTTAATGCGGTTTCCTTAATTAAGTACCTGAATTGTCTCCCAGACAGTACTGTCTACTATCAACAATATTCCTGCAAGACAGTAAGATCCATCGGTATCCTACCCCTGGAAAAATTTCAGCTTTGGAATTAGGCTTGGGTTATCCCCAAAAGCAGGAAAACAAACAAACAACAAACAAACAACACAAATTAATGCAAGTCACTGCCTCCAGCAAAAACATGTTCTTACTTCTTTAACTTAGGTCAACATTTGATTTAACCAACTTAAACTAATTGTTCCAAGGTGTTTCTGTATAAATCTTAAAGTGACACAATGAAAACATTTTTTTTTTCAACTCAACTTTTAATTTCGGTAAGTAATATCTACAGGCAAGTCACAAGTACAGAGTTTTCTGATTAATTAATAGCATCTTATTTAGGTATTTACCTTATATATATCCCTTAATAAATTTACAATAAATGTCCAATTATCTTGGGGGAGAATTACAGACTTTCCAAATTCAAGATTTTAACACGTTCAGAACAGTTTCTGTGTTATAATCTGTTCTAAATAAATTACTATTTTTGGAAATTATACATCTAATTATTATGCTCTTTTGGAAATCTCACAGCCCTTTGATTAAGCTTGATTTTTTAAGTTATGGAGTGCCTGGGACTTAATCTGTGCGCGTGGTATCCATATATTTAGTTTGTAGGTACCCTTTAGGTTTTTGCATGCTTGCATTACTCTTCATAGTGACACCGACTCTAAAGATACATTTAGTACACATGGTAATACGGATGCAATATGATCTACAACGAGAATCGTCTTAATGGATGGGAAAAAAAAAAGACCCAAACAAGATTGCAGGAAAATACATGCATCTATTCTCTGGGGATATCTAATAAACTGTTAAAAAAACATTTTCTTTAAAAATTCAATTGAGTGTACCTTTAACTCTAGTAGATGCACTAACATGACTGTTTAGAGCGTTGGTTACATTACTGGGAAGCTCAGGTAAGACCACCAGACCAGTAAATGTTCCTGGGCAAAACACCTATATTTCATTTATGTATCTAGAAATTATTTTACCAGGAAGGATACATTGAGATTTCTCTTGTTTTCGAATATATGTGCCTACTGCTAATCCTCATAGATTGTGAGCTTGTTAGAGTAGAACCTTCTTCACCCTTCATTTTGTTATATATCACCTTTCTATAATTGTAAAGCGCTGTGGAATGTGTTGGCCCTATATAAATAATAATAACACCATTATACATATAATGCTAAAACGTAATGTAATTGCACTCTGTTATGCTTATCTTGCACATTAGATGGCGCTGCTATTTAAGGAACGCAAGTAAACACTGAATTAGCCTGAAACTGCACAATTGTCTCAAATTCTCTAGTGGTGGTTATACGACTATAAGTGTTTTGTGCATCTGGAATAAAATATGAACCGAAGCCAAAGCCCCATCCTTTTCCCACCAGTCTGGATGGTCAGTATTCATTTTTGTGCATGATATTTCTTATATAACTTTATTTTAAATAATACATACAAAGTATTTGGATTTTTTTTCCATACGTAGAGTTTGATGGATCTGAGGGACATATTTAGTATGATTAAGTAAGAAATTATATTTTCACAGTTGTTTGTTAGGTTGAAGGTTTTGTCAGATTTCACTCCTTCCACTTCCTCCTTATTAGAGGTGGAAGAAAACAGGAATTTATATTTCTATAACATAGTAATGGTCCATAATCCATCAAGGGAGGTTATACTATGATCCCAAAACCACTGGCTGTATCATTTATAAAGATGGACCAGGGGATTCGGCTTTATCTATATTTTTAATATGTGGCTAGTGGGCTTTCCTTACCCCATGACACCAATTAACGATTATTCATCAGCCTTGTACATGGCTTGGGTAAACAATGGTACCAATCACTGAGCTCTCTATTTTTTCCTGCTCAACCTCCTTATAGTAGAGCGGATTATCCATAAGGTGGCAAAGTTGGCTGCCTAGGGCCTGGGCTAAGATAGGGGCAGAGTGTCTTGGCCTGGAGCTCCTGAGGTGTATGTGTGGGATTCCTTTCAAAAGATCCAGCTTTCAGATCCAGAGGGGAAAAGCACCCAGGGCATGTTCCTCCCCTAAAGCCAACTGGATCAGGTGTACAAAATGGAAATGCCCTGTTCCACCTGTGATCTGATGTTGCCTGTAACCCATAACACCTTTAACAACTGACCGGGCGAGCTGAATAAGGGATGGTTTAGATGCCCATGTTTGCAATGGTGGATCTGTGTTTCTTCATGAGTGAGTGAGTGTGTGACTGTGAACATGTGAAGATTAGTGTATTTCTAAATGTATGTCTTTGTGTAAGTTCAGTGTCTGCATGTGTGTATGTCCTTATCTGTGAAAGTGTTTCTGTATGTGTGTTGGGTAAAAGGAAAGGGAAATACATTTACAGGGATGTTTGAATTGCAAGGTAAAGAGTGAGTGAGTTATTCTATTTTGGGAATTGGGGATTAATGGAGTAACAATGTGCAAATAATTGGCAGGGGAATTATATTTTAAAATGCTGTCCTAATATGTTCTCCGATGATTTGCAGGGTTTATGGATTTATCTCAGATAAATGTATCACTGCCTCCTCCACACACAAACACACAACACTCAGTATCCCCCACACACATACAACACTTAGCCACCATACACAACCCTAGCAGAAAGTGCCCAGGACTCTATCAAGGGAGTCCCAATCTAGAATATTACCTAGGGCCCTGGGCAATCGTAATCTGGCTCTCCCTTATAGCTGCAGTTTGGGTGGAGATAAGAGGACCCACTGGCACTCTGTGCATTACATATCTGTTTGATTTTATAAGTTTTTTATAAGGGATGTAGTGTGTGCAAGGAATGTATTGTATGTGTAGGGGGTTCAGCGTGTGTTTGTGCTGGGGATGCAGTGTGTGTGTGTGTGTGTGTATATATATATATATATATATATATATATATAAGTTTAATCTCTTCTACCTCTGTTTCTGGGATGGGTAGGGCTACATAACTTCTGTTACTGATGGTCCAGTGTAAAGACCCTCGGTCTCTCCATACTGATGGTCCAGTGTAAAGACCCTCGGTCTCTCCATCCTGATGGTCCAGTGTAGAGAACCTCGGTCTCTCCATCCTGATGGTCCAGTGTAGAGAGCCTCGGTCTCTCCATCCTGATGGTCCAGTGTAGAGACCCTCGGTCTCTCCATCGGCCAGAGGCAGACCTTGTGTAAAAGCTTTTGCAAGCTCCCAGTTCATAGTATCAGAGCTTTGCTGTGATAACCCTCAGCAACTAACTAAACTGCCCGAAGCTTGTGTTAAAGGACCACTCTAGGCACCCAGACCACTTCAGCTTAATGAAGTGGTCTGGGTGCCAGGTCCAGCTAGGGTTAACCCATTTTTTTATAAACATAGCAGTTTCAGAGAAACTGCTATGTTTATGAATGGGTTAAGCCTTCCCCCTAATCCTCTAGTGGCTGTCTCATTGACAGCCACTAGAAGCGCTTGTGCTTCTCACTGTGATTTTCACAGTGAGAGCACGCAGTTAGGAAAGCATTGTAAATGCTTTCCTATGGACGGGCTGAATGCCGCGCAGCTCTTGCCGCGCTGCGCATTCAGCCCAGGAGGAGGATCGGAGGAGGAGAGGAGGCAGAGCAGCTGGAAAAAGGTAAGTTTTAACCCCTTTCCAGAGCCGGGCGGGAGGGGGTCCCTGAGGGTGGGGGCACCCTCAGGGCACTATAGTGCCAGGAAAACAAGTATGTTTTCCTGGCACTATAGTGGTCCTTTAATCATATACCAGGAGAGGACCATGCTGAGGGAGCTTTATGGACTCCCCCTCCCCCTTATAGTGGTTGCAACAGGTTGGTAAAGGAAATGGTTGAGCTCCCCACTGGTCCATAAAGGCACACCTCTGCATGGGGTGCATTTTAAAGTAGTGCTGGCCTGGAGCTATAGCACCCCACATTCATAGAAACATAGAATTTTTAAGGTAAGAACCCATCAGCCCATCTAGTCTGCCCAATATTCTAATACTGTCATTAGTCCCTGGCCTTATCTTATATCTAGGATAGCCTTATACCTAACACATGCATGCTTAAACTCCCTCACTGTGTTAACCTCTACCACTTCAGTTGGAAGGCTATCGCATGCATACACTACCCTCTCAGTAAAGTAATACTTCCTGATTTTATATATATATATATATATATATATATATATATACAGGGAGTGCAGAATTATTAGGCAAATGAGTATTTTGACCACATCATCCTCTTTATGCATGTTGTCTTACTCCAAGCTGTATAGGCTGGAAAGCCTACTACCAATTAAGCATATTAGGTGATGTGCATCTCTGTAATGAGAAGGGGTGTGGTCTAATGACATCAACACCCTATATCAGGTGTGCATAATTATTAGGCAACTTCCTTTCCTTTGGCAAAATGGGTCAAAAGAAGGACTTGACAGGCTCAGAAAAGTCAAAAATAGTGAGATATCTTGCAGAGGGATGCAGCACTCTTAAAATTGCAAAGCTTCTGAAGCGTGATCATCGAACAATCAAGCGTTTCATTCAAAATAGTCAACAGGGTCGCAAGAAGCGTGTGGAAAAACCAAGGCGCAAAATAACTGCCCATGAACTGAGAAAAGTCAAGCGTGCAGCTGCCACGATGCCACTTGCCACCAGTTTGGCCATATTTCAGAGCTGCAACATCACTGGAGTGCCCAAAAGCACAAGGTGTGCAATACTCAGAGACATGGCCAAGGTAAGAAAGGCTGAAAGATGACCACCACTGAACAAGACACACAAGCTGAAACGTCAAGACTGGGCCAAGAAATATCTCAAGACTGATTTTTCTAAGGTTTTATGGACTGATGAAATGAGAGTGAGTCTTGATGGGCCAGATGGATGGGCCCGTGGCTGGATTGGTAAAGGGCAGAGAGCTCCAGTCCGACTCAGACGCCAGCAAGGTGGAGGTGGAGTACTGGTTTGGGCTGGTATCATCAAAAATGAGCTTGTGGGGCCTTTTCGGGTTGAGGATGGAGTCAAGCTCAACTCCCAGTCCTACTGCCAGTTCCTGGAAGACACCTTCTTCAAGCAGTGGTACAGGAAGAAGTCTGCATCCTTCAAGAAAAACATGATTTTCATGCAGGACAATGCTCCATCACACGCGTCCAAGTACTCCACAGCGTGGCTGGCAAGAAAGGGTATAAAAGAAGAAAATCTAATGACATGGCCTCCTTGTTCACCTGATCTGAACCCCATTGAGAACCTGTGGTCCATCATCAAATGTGAGATTTACAAGGAGGGAAAACAGTACACCTCTCTGAACAGTGTCTGGGAGGCTGTGGTTGCTGCTGCACGCAATGTTGATGGTGAACAGATCAAAACACTGACAGAATCCATGGATGGCAGGCTTTTGAGTGTCCTTGCAAAGAAAGGTGGCTATATTGGTCACTGATTTGTTTTTGTTTTGTTTTTGAATGTCAGAAATGTATATTTGTGAATGTTGAGATGTTATATTGGTTTCACTGGTAATAATAAATAATTGAAATGGGTATATATTTGTTTTTTGTTAAGTTGCCTAATAATTATGCACAGTAATAGTCACCTGCACACACAGATATCCCCCTAACATAGCTATAACTAAAAACAAACTAAAAACTACTTCCAAAAATATTCAGCTTTGATATTAATGAGTTTTTTGGGTTCATTGAGAACATGGTTGTTGTTCAATAATAAAATTAATCCTCAAAAATACAACTTGCCTAATAATTCTGCACTCCCTGTATATATATATATATATATATATACTATAATCTGTGTTTTATTGAGGTCAGGTTCAGCACAGAATACATAAACAGGTTACCAAGATAAGTCATAGCATTGCATTGCGACTTTCAAACAAAAGTTATGACCTCATTTTTTCTTTTTTGCAAGAGTTAATTAAACAGATAATATCATGACATGTAAGAATAAAATAAAGTAACACAGGGATACTAAGCCTGTAGGTGTTACACAAGAGACTATGATATCCCATGCTGGGCCATATGTTTGTGTCATAACAAGTAGAAAGGGGGGGTATCAACACAGTGACTACTAACTAGAGAGAGCTTGTAAGGTGGTGCTGGTCAGTATAACTATGATTCCTATTCTTCAAAATTCTTAGCAGAACCCATACAAAGCATGTGAAAATGCTGCACCTAGTTTAAGTAAGTAGCGACAGATACAAGCTAAACCGCCATGTCAGGTGTATAAAAGGAGCCTGAGCATGTAAACTATGCAGGTTTGACACTTTGACATGGGGATTATAATAAAATATAACTTGGTCAAACGAGTGTGAGTCAATACAAAAACATAAGATGATAAGACATTGCAAGGTATAGTATCTGACTGTGCTGGGATATGCTCAAGGAAAGGTAACCACCAGATAGGTTAGTAGCTAAGCACAATTTGTTAGGTGTATGAAGAGGCATATGAGTACAGAAAGAGTCACATATGGTAGCTTGAGACAGTGTCGGATCCAGAGCCTGATCTCGGGATGGGCACTTGTAGATTATTTAAATAAATAATCCTGGCACAATAACCACTACAGCTCAGTGCAGTAGTTTATGGTTCCAGTAGTGCCAGGATCCCACCCCAGAGTAAGTAGTCATACCGTTTAAGAACAGTTTGACAACTTACCTGGGGTCTGCTGGGATATAGGGCATAGGAGCAGTGGTGTGTGTTAGGGGTGAAGTGTGTGTGAAAGGTGCAGTGTGTGTGTGAGCGGTGAAGTGTGTGTGTGAGTGCGTGAGGGCGGAAGTGTATGTCAGGGTTGCAGTGTGTGTTAGGGGGCAGTGTATGTGTGGGGCAGTGTGTGTGTGTGAGGGTGGCAGAGTATGTATGGGGGCACTGCATGTGAGTTTGGGGCACTGTTTGTGTGGGGCAGTGTGTGTATGGGGGGTACTGTATGTATGGAGGGGTTGTGTGTGTTTGGGGCAATGTGTGTATGGGGGGGGAAGCAGTGTGTGTAGGGCACTGTATGTGTCTGTGTGTGTATGGGTGTGCAGTGTTTGTGGGGCAGTGTGTGTATGGGTGTGCAGTGTGTGTATGGGGAGCAGGGTGTGTATGGGTGTGCAGTGTGTGTGGGGGCAGTGTGTGTGGGGGCAGTGTGTGTATGGGGAGCAGTGTGTGTATGGGGAGCAGTGTGTGTGTATGGGGGCAGTGTATGGGGGGCAGTGTATGTGTGTATAGGGGGTAGTGTATGTGTGTATGGGGGGGAGGAGGGTAGGGAGGCTTTTTAATAAAAAAAAAAATGTATTTAATAAAATAAATATATTGATGTCCCCCCTCCCTTCTTACCTTTATTGAGGAGGAGGGGGGACATTTCCCCGTCCCTGGTGGTCCCAGTGGGAATACCTGGTGGTTCCAGTGTGGAGTGAAGTCTAGCCCACGCTCCAGGGCTAGAGTTCACTCTTGCGAGATTTGGAGCGTTGCCGTAGTAACCACAGCAACGCTCTGTGCTCGCGAGAGCAGGACCTTGAGGAGCTGCAGACTTAGCTCCCGGGTCCTCTCTCCCTCCCCTGCCTGCTGTCAGCAATGTCCCTGCGGACTGGGGAGGGAGTCCGCAGGCACATAGCAGGGCTGGCGCTTGGACAATGCCAGCCCTGCATTAGCCAGCAGGGGAGAATCTCGGGGGGGGGGGGGCAATTGCCCCGTTGCCCCCCCTGGATCCGCCAATGGCTTGAGAGCAGTATTGTGAGGGAGAAGAAGCACTGACAGAGCTAGTGTCCCCTCGCATATAGTCGACTCAACCTATGCCCGTGGCTGTCAGGTCCAGATTGATTTGTAGAGGAGCGTGAGTCTTCAGGCTTGTCCCTCTGGCTCCTTGAGTCGGATTGAACTGGTATACCATGCATGGGGTAGACAGCATAGTCAGGGTCTCTGTGGATATCATATCCCGTTGCTGCCTGCCCTCTCTATTTCCACCCGCTCTCTCGCTGTTTCCACTCCTCTCATAAATGCTTGTGCCGAGTGTGGCCTGCTGGTGGCATAGATGTACTGTCTTGGCAGGGGGCGTCCGTGGGGAAGCTCTGCTGGTAGGCTTTGCATCTGAGTCAGTCCGCCTGGGTCGCCGTCTCGTCCGGCGCCCAGGTGTGACTCTATTCTATTTTGGAAGGGTCATGGACCTCTGGGTTGCAGGAGATGAATGATGGCTTGAGGCTGCGCTGCACTGCCTCTCCCTGATCTTTTGCCAAAAGGCCTCAAAGAGTAAGTTCAGCTTCGTGAGGGTCAACTCTGTCGCCTCACACAATGGAGCAGCGGTGTCGTCTGCCATTTTGGTTTGACCACGTGGGAGCCGATTGTGCAGAGGTTGCCCAGGGGAATTTCAAAGGTGAGTGGTGGGGTCCGGGATAACCCCCACCGGACCACAGGGGTTGTGGGGTACAAGGCTCTGGTAGCACTCTCGGTATGCCTGGCCAGGTCTAGTTTGGAGGATCGTCTGCCTCCTCCACCAGGCCCGTCGGCTGACGCAAGCCAGTGCCAGATCTCGGTGTGCCAATTGCTTATAGAGATGCCAGGAGTCTCCGGTTGTAGATTATAAGCCTGAAGGGGCTACAAAACAGTGAATTTGGCCTTTAACATGAGTATTGGTCAGGAGCTGATGTGAATTGCATCCGCTCGGCTTGGCGGTCAGGCCCCGTCCTCCTTCTGGTATTATTTTTAAACCTTTGCCACTCTAACTTAAGACTATGTCCTCTTGCTGAGGTAGTTTTTCTTCTTTAGAATAAACTCTCCTCCTTTACTGTATTGATTCCCTTTATGTATTTAAATGTTTCTATTGTATCCCCCATGTCTCGTCTTTCTCACGAGCTATGCATGTAAAGATCTTTTAACCTTTCTTGGTAAGTTTAATCCTGCAATTCATGAACCAGTTTAATAACCTTCTTTAAGCTCTCTAAAGTATTAAGATCCTTCTTTGCTCACTTTGCCTTGACATCAGCAACATCTCAATGACGAGGCCAAAATAAGTCCAAATTGATTGTCTGAGGTAGCTTGGCTCTCCCCAAGTTAAAAGGGTAATCCAGATGTGGACCCCCATGCTCACTGTACCTAGAGGGGTATCAGCTACACCTCACTTTTGATGACAAGTTGATGGAAATTAAACCTTCCATTGACATATTGCATCCAACTCTTCAAGACTTGAAAATGTAGAACAACATCCAATCACCTCTCAAACTGCTTGATAAGATTGGTGACCTGAAAATCAGAAGTAGGCTCAACAATTTGCGCTTTGCTGACCTGCCAGAAGCCATGAAACCAGCTGTATTAATCCCAACACTACAGTTGTGGCAACCTACTGCTCTTCATCTTCCTTATGATATTGATAACCCCCTACATATTGAACGAGCACACCAAATTGGCCCAGAACTCTAAGAACGCAGACCCTGTCCAGTGATTATCTGACTACTTAACCGGTTAATTTACCCCTTTTGAGAGGGGGGACCTTTCCAGTTTAATATGCCCTAATGGGCACTGTGGAGAAGGACCCCCTCTCAGTTTGTAGTCAAACTTGCAATTTTTTTTTTACTTACCTGGAATCCAATGCCAGGCTAAGCGCTGACCTTCCACGCTCCCTCCTGACATCACTGGGTTATATTGCTTGCTCAGAGTGCATGCACGTGCTCTGGCCCAGTGAAAGGAGGGTCAGGGGTGGAGGAGGGAGGGTTTTACGAAAAAAAACAAAAACAATATGGAACTGGAAGTGGGAGGAAGTGCATAGTGGGTGGGAGGGGATATCTAGCTTCCCTATAGGTGTATATCATGCCCCTGCATTCTCATTGCTCAGTTCGCTGTCATTAAGGGGTTAAATTACTTTGTTTATGCTGCTCTAGTCACACCTCTCTGCAAGTGACTTAAACAGCTCTCCTAGACACTTCCTGTAAAAAGATATCTAATGTTGAAACTTCCTTTATTGCACAGTCTGTTTAATTTAAACTTTTGTATCTCCTGCTCTGTTAACAGCCTTCTAGGCCCCGCAGGAGCCTCGGTGTGTGATTAAAGTTCAATTTACAGAGCAGAAGATAAACACATTTGAGTTATTTGCCCCACTACAAATATACACACTGCCAGGTAGGACTTTTCCTTTGTTCCCATTAGCATCTAAATGTGTCATGGCTCAATATAACCATCATGGTTCTGGCACCCCAGTCGTAAGGTAACATGGAACAACTGACACTATTTTATTGGCATTCATTAATATTTATCAGTTGTATCATTTACATTAATTGAAGCTAGGTAGCTGTTCATCTACAATATGGTTAATTGGTGTTTGCTTACTCAGAGGAGTCATCTGACTGCTCAGGTATCTTTCATTTGATGTGCTAAGGGTTTATTCACTGAATGTTGAATTGGGTTGCATTGAATAGTACATTTGAAAACATTAAGTCCAAAAATTCTTCAGCTCTGCTATGTGCCTAACCTTGCTATTTAGACATACAGATTTTGCAATTTGGCAATCAATTCATCATAACTCCCAAAGTATGAGAGGTAAAATTGGAAATATAGGGGCAAGGTCTATAGTGAAGGCATCCCCGTGATACAATTAATGTCACTAGTGAAGCTGGCTAATTAGGAGGCTTACCATCATGGTTCACATCTTTGTTGGGTTGACAGTCAGTACTACATTTTCTAACTCTTCCACTTACTGTTACACCTGACAGGTATTGGAATGGTCATGAGAGTGAAAATTGGAGTAGTTGTTCATTGACTACTGAACAAGGAATTACAGATGGTTTGTAAAATGACCCAAGTTTGAGTAGGTTGCAAGTTCAGACTTCACACTTACATTCATATGCATAAACATGGGCACATAAACAGACACACACATTCATATACATATTCAAACCAGCACATACACATTTTAACATATACACATAGACATGGATATACGCACATGGTCAGATATACACAAACAAGATTTTTTCAAAGCCGCTGACCTGGTTTAACAATGTATCAGGAAGATGTCACTTTTTAAATGATCTTTTTATACATAAGTGTCCACTTACTTGGAAGACTCCCACGCTTAGTCAAATCCCTGTTGCTGGTGTTTCAATTCCTGAAATCCGTCAAATATAAGATTTAAAGTATGTACACTGCACTCAGGTATATGCATTAAGAATAAAAGAAGCATTCGTTGCTGCGTCCGTTTAATAGGAATAGTGCAGACATGACATAAATTCACCAGAGTATAAAGATAATAACATTTCAAAGACTTAAAATATTGTCGCATGTGATAGAAGGGAGGAAAGAACAAAAAACCTAAGATGCTAAAGTGATCCAGAACGTGTTCACATCTATATTGACATGTTATCAACCAATGTTCATATAAGATATGTGGTAAAGTATGGATTACATTTTCCTCATTGAGATGATTTGACAGAATGTTAAACTAGTAGATAGTGTTCAAAAACTGCCCACTTGCAGCAATTATACAAAGACGAGTGGCTAAAAATCCCCTAAAGTGATGTGAAAGATTGATCTCCATTTACAAGAAGCACTGCAATTTTTGGATAAAGCAGGGGGGCAATTACTTTTTCACACTGGCACAGTTAGTGATTAAGGTATGGGTGTCAAATTTGTTTATTCTAAGGGCCAAATTGTTATGGAAATTGATATGGAGGGCCAAGTGCATACAATTTATATATAAAAACACACACACACACAAATGTAATTGATTACTTTCTTACAACAGTAGAAACATTGTATTTATGGATAGTGTTTGCATTTGAATGCAGTTGTGTGTTTGTAAGTCCTGTTGCCACTTGAATGCATGGCTGTGTTTGAGTGTATTGCGTGCATTTGACTGCAGAGTTGTGTTTATAGTGATGGCATTTGAATTCAGGGCTGTGTTTGAATGCAGGGTGTTTTTGTGTGTTGTGTTTATATATGTAAAGGTGGAGCCTGGAGTTGTGGGAGGGGCCCGTGCTGATATGAATACTCACCCTCTGCCCTATACTCCTCCCAGCCTTTTGTTATGTTTTTGAGTGCGACATCACTTCTGGGTATTCTCCAGCGTGCAAACAGACTGGCTGGACTTTATTTCCAACTGGAAATAAACTGGCTGGACATTATTTCCGTTCTGCAGTATGCTCATTCAGATTGGGCTGCTCTTGTGTAGAACAAACATATTCTGTTTGGCAAGAGCACACTTGGCTCAAAGGGGAGGGAATGTTACTCATTTTTGCATCGTACTTATATCCGATATTATCCATTTATGTACTTTAAGAATAGCTCCTTATATGCGCTCCCTTGGGGAGAACTTTTGGATTATAGTGACTTTTAATCTACGTGGGTTTGGTCTAGTTATTCCATCTGATTGCCACTTGAGTTATGGTATTCTGTTATTTTATGTTATGCTAAGATTGGTGGGATAGATCCTGACTACATTAAGTCAGAAGGAACATAGAAACTCCTGGTTTATTCTTATTTTCACGTTGGTTGGTTTACCTAGGTAATATGTATTTTCACACAGATCCTGTTTCATCATAGTTATTTTGTTGCTTTCTGTTGAAATAGGTTATAGGCTGCTGCTATCAAATTTACCACTCAAGTACAATTTATGTTCTGCTGATTATAACAGGGTGTTACATCGTGGATATTAGTCTCCAACGCTAAGGGATCCACGGTCAATTAAATATTGTTGTATAAATAATCACGTTAGCAGCAACGTCAGAAGGGTGTTAACTAATTAAAGGAACACCAGGTGGTTTCACAATACTCGTAACGGACTTAGGTTGCATGGACCTACATACCAATATTCTTGTAGTAAATACTAGTAGTCACTTTTACCTTCGTAAACAAGCCATATCATTCTGTCATGTACTCAGGATCAAAGATACATGCATCTTATAGTATTCATGTTGCATATTTTATAGACTAGCATCAGCGTACGGACACATATAGATTTACCACGACTATTAACCTGACTGAAGATTCTAAAAAAATCATTCTTGTCAAACCAGGTAGGCATCATTCTTTTGACTATGTACGGTCCAAAGACTCAGTGCCTTAGTTATATTTTCCCTTCCACGTACTTTAGGGGCGCAAATTATCAGGGAACCTTCTAGACTTTGCTTACGCACTCAAGCTACACGTCTTACAGTTCCCCGACATCATGTATACAAACCTGAGAAACCTACATGTTTTCCCTTTTCTCAGTCCCCTAGGAAGTAAGTTACTGGCTGTTCAGGGCAATAGGAGCCATATTTTGTTTATATAGGCCTCTATGCCTTATATTAGTGGTCCCGCAAATCCCTCGGTCCAACGCATAGCTAGCAACCTCGTATGTTGCATAGAGAGGGACTCACCTGTCACGGCCAATTCTATTTTTCTTCTACTACTCACGTAAAGGCCAACACCCCACCACTACGTTCTGTGGTATAGCCCTCGGCCCAACGCATAGTTAGAGCCTCTCAAGCTGCTTGGCACTAGTAGGGCCTCACCTATCACCAATGAAGCTAATTTCTTCGCTGCTTGGCACTAGTCAGCAGCCAGTACCTACATAGAAACATTCTAAATCTCGATTTTCCTTTGTTGTATGTCTCAAGCTCCAGAAGGTGGAGACGAACTTTCACTCCCTCACTCCCCAACTAAGTCTGGTTCACCTTCCAGAGGACGAGAATCTGTCAGTCCATCATCAATTAGATCATGGACTATTCCGCGCATACAGGCCGAACTACGAAGGAGGAGCATTCCATTCCCGGCTACTGCCAGGAAGGCGGAATTGTTCAGATTAATGTATACGAACACCGATAACACCGGAGCTGGGGAAGGGTCTAGTGGCACCAGGAACATGCCTGACTTACAAATCATGATGGACACTCTTCTCTCCTCCATGGGCCAGATCAGGGATAGGATTGATAGATTGGAGGCGGACCATACAACAACTGACTCACCTTTGACCAACGCCATGTCCCTAGCAGCCGCTACGGCAATCTTACAGGGTAAGATCTGACTCAATTTTCACAGTTAAATACACTAATGATCACACCTGCCCACATGGTGCCCCTTCAGCTACGTAAAGATATCCTGGAGAGTAAGGATGTAAATCTTATATCACTCCTCATTGCTTCCCGGGATATAGTGAAGAACAAGACCTATGCTTATGGGGATCTATCAGTAGTCATCAAGACCAGGGATCCCAGGCTCAATAAAAAACTGACCATTCCAGAGTTTGTATTGGCATTTGGGATTTACAGAGATGTAGTATGTACGAATTCTCCTCAGAGAAGAGAAGAATTGGATACATACATGCACAAGCTGGTTGACTTGGGGCACAAGTATGGCGGATATGCTTTCTATGATTACAATAGGTCTTTTTCAGCTAAGGCGGCAGCAACTCATCACAGTTTAATACAGTGATTAATTGGAGTAGGCTGGATACAGAGTTGTTTTGCAGGCATTTCGCCGGCCTCAGGACACCAGCTTGTGCCTTGTGTTCATCTATCTCCCACAGTACCAACCTTTGTCCCGCTGACACCTCGGTTGCAGTGCAACAAAACTCTGGGGCGTCTGTAAGATCAGAGAGAGTGCTAAAGGATAAGCTTGACAGGCCCATTGTTTTTCTCAGGAAATCCCAGATATGTAACAATTTCAATGCTGGGGGCTGCGGGTTTAGTGCTTGTAGGCTGTTACATGTGTGTACTCAATGTTTCCATGCTCACTCCAAAACCATGTGCCCTAATAAACTAAATGCTAAACAGTATTTCACATCTGTTGATATTTTCCAGTTGTCTCAACTATTAGCATCTCACCCTTCATCACAGTTCACTAACTTCTTGGTCACAGGGTTTTCAGAAGGCTTTCACACGGGTATTGTAGCATTACCATTCGGTATTACCGAAAGTAAAAATTTACTATCTGCTGTAAACGACCCAAGTACAGTTGATTCACTGTTAACACAGGAACTGAATCAAGGGTTTGTCATAGACCCCTTTTCCACACCCCCATTCTCTAGTTGGCATACAAACCTGATCGGTATTGTAACGGGGAAACACTCTTCAAAGAAGAGACTGATCATAGATCTTTCTGCAACTCACTCCTCCACCATTCCCAGTTTAAATTCATTAATCCCTTCGGAACAATTCTCATTGCAGTACACCACGATAGATGACACAGTACAAACCATCATAGAGGCAGGGATAGGAGCATGGTTAAGCAAATCAGATATTATTAACGCCTTTAAACTGCTTCTTATTTACCCGTCGCTGTGGCATCTGCATGGTATTAAATGGAGAAACCAGTACTATTTTTTCAACAGGCTGACGTTTGGGTCTAAAAGTAGCCTGAGGATATTCGAAACCTTCGCGGAGGCCTTATGCTGGTTACTCTTAAATTCATGTAGATGCCCATCAGTACTACACTACCTGGATGATTTTCTCTTCATAGACAGTAATCATAACCCACCTTCAAGTCTTCAGGCCGCCAAACAGCTGTTTGGGAGGTTGGGGGTCCCTATTTCCCTCTCCAAAACTATAAGTTCAGATACTATGGTCAATTTTCTGGCTATTGAACTGGACTCGATGGCCATGGAGGCCAGCTTGCCGCATGACAAAATTCAACGTATCCTAACAGACATTGGTAACTACCTGCGACAAGGTTGTTGTAGTCATTGTTGTGGTCGTTGAATTTTGCCATGAGAGTCATCCCGCAGGGCAGGTCTTTTATTTCTAGGCTTTTATGTCTATTACCTAACCTGCCCTGCGAGAACAGCATAGTTTCTCTGGATACCCATGCCACAGCTGATTTACAAATGTGGCAGGATTTCTTATTCCAGTGGAATGGGAAGTCCATGTTCATACCTCCACAATTCCCCAATACTGTGGACGGATATCTGTGGTGACCAATCGTTCTGGGGCAGTTGGCCGCCTGAGACCAGAACATTGGAGGCTTTTGGTCATATGTCAGCATTGCTAGAAATATACCCAATCGTGGCTGCAGCAGCAACTTGGGGACACTCCTGGGTGGGACACACGGTCCATTGTTACTCAGATAACCAAGCAACATGCTACACTATTAACAAAGGCCGGTCCCCCTCTCTAGTCATTATGAGTTTCATGAGGAGATTAACTTGACTCACGGCAACTCATCAGTTCTATTTGTATTGCACACATGTACCAGGTATTCAGAACGTAGCAGCTGACCGTTTGTCACGATTTCGGTTTCAGGAATTTCACCTACTCCATCCCTATGACTCCTTGATAGCAACTATGGTCCCCCAGTTTCAAGACATCCTATTGGATTGAGTCAACTCCTGGAGCATGGCAGATTACTATCAAAGAGAGCTCTGTCTGAAAACAGATGCAAAAGAGCACTTAATGTTTTTGTAAAATTCACAAGGGACTTCCAGGTGGCAGACGTATTCGCTATGGAATCTTTGGTAGCATTTGCCTCTTTTTGCCACTTGAATTTACATCTGTCTTACAATACAATAAAACTCTACCTCACGGGCCTACAACACCACATGTTAACCTTATTTCCAAGCACACAGACCTTCCTATCCTCCTACCAAATTAAGACACTATTAAAAGGAATTCAGAGGAGCAGTACTACACCGGCACCAACAAAGACTGCCTATTACAGGGAATGTGTTTAGATCACTATCAGACCTATTGGATAACTCTCCTTTCGAACCCAAAACAAATCAGACTTTAAAAGTAGCTATATATTTAGCTTTTTATGGGAGTTTACCACAATCCTTACTACCGACACTAGATCCTGTCTTAACGTTGGGCAGCTAAATAAGCAGGGAGACCATTTCCTCCTCTCACTGTTACATACAAAAACTTCGCAAAAACTTCGCAACCAGGGCAAACCGTCTCAATACTGTATTATTCCACCTTTAATAAATGGTGTCCCGTTAAGACTTTCGATACCTATCTGTCTAAATTACAAGCACCTACAAATCTCCCGTTACTCACCTTACAAGGCATCATCCTCACGACTAGCAAATTTATGCTATTTATTAGAATCGTGTTGATGAGGCTAGGCCTTAACCCCTCACACTACTCAGGGCATTCTTTCCATATTGGAGCAGCTTCAGCAGCATCACACCGGAACATACCCATTCATATTATCAAGTCTCTGGGGCGCTGGAAGTCTACAGCGTACTGTAGATACATACCATAACCTGAGAGAGAAATCAGACAAGCTTTCAGACATTTGGCATTATGATGTTATGTTGTATTAAGTTATTGTTGATGGAATAAATCTTTTGGCATAGATCTTTTGCCCACTTTATTTACAGGTCTGCCAATACGTTGGTTTTGGCACACCTCAACCTAATTAATCATACTCCTACTGGTATGAGAAGGTATCAATTACACTTCCGGCTGTTATTGTCCTGACCACAAATATATATATACACACACACACTGTTACACATATATACACAGAAACACACACAAATACACAATCTCAATTTTGTTGCTGTCGGATCCTAGCAGCCCTTCATAGTACAGCATGCAGGTCGTTGTGATAGAGCAGATGTCAGTCTATGCTTCTTTGGAATATCAATGAGTCCCCCACCAGTCCCTTGATTCCATGACCTAACACAGCACCCCATTGCCCCTCACTCCTACCTGCAGATGCTGCATAGCTGCCTCCACTCTTGCTTTGCAGTCTGTGAGGTAGGAGGAAGTGAATTGCTGCTGACCTAATTTGGGGGCTCTGTGGGCCATGTATTTGACTTACCTGCTCTAAACGGTTAGACCCCTTCAGTGGTCATGATGATTGGAGTCTGTACGTGTAGCGTTTCATACTGAAACACTGCAAACAGTGGTGTATTTTGGATTTGTGCTGCCCTAGGCAGGACTGTGCTCAGGCACTCCCCCCCCCTATTTAAATTTTCCCCTTCCTGTCAAGGCTGCACCTTTTACTGATGCATTCACTGACAAACACTCATTAAAAGATACAGTCATTGGCCCACATACTATTTAACCATCACACACTTTCACAGACAGACACACACACTATCATATACACACTCACTGATTTGACACACTCTGACAGACACACACTCACTGACAAATGCATACACTCATTGACGACACACACTCTCATATACACTGACAAACAATGACATATACAAACACTCACTGATTTGACACACTCTGACCGGCCCACACTATTACTCACACACTCACAGACAGACACAGACTCACACACTCACAGACAGACAGAGACTCACACACTCACATACACACACACACACACACACATTTCCCCCAATACTCACAAATTATAATTTTTTTAAAATTTTAGTTTAAATCCACCCAGCCTCCCTGGGAGAGCTAGAGTGGATTACTTACCTGCGGTCCAGTGGGGCTGCTGCGCGGGGCGGGTAGGGGGCGGACAGGCAGTGTAGGCGGCGAGGGAGCTCTAGTATTCCTGCTCAGCTCCCTCGCGTGCCGCTTAGTGATGCTGGGAGCTGGAGTGACGTCATATTCCGGCCCCATTAAGTGGCACGGACGCGCAAGGGAGCTGAACAGGAAGAGCTCAGGTGAGTATGCTCCCTCTCTGCCCGCCACGATAGAAGCTGCCGCCTGCCTCGGGGGGGCTCAGAAGTGGCCAGTCAGCCAGCTCTTGAGCCCCCAGGACACGAGGCAAAAAAGGGATCTGCCTGGGTGTTTGGGGCAACTTTTTTTGCCAGCCCCTGCAAAGTGCCGCCCAAGGCAAATGCCTTGTTTGCCTCATGTAAGATACATTGCTGACTGCAAATACAGAGATTTATGGGCTACCTGCCCAAAATGTACCATCAAAATACAGATTAGGGAACAGTGCACACACACAAAAAAACAAAACAGTTTACATTTCACTTAACCCCTTAAGGACACAGGACTACCCTATATTTGTGTTCAGTAACTTAGATGTGGGCTTAACACAATATGGCCATATGGTGTAACTGAATCCCCTTATTTGTTTACTAAGATAGGTGATTTTAAGTAGCTTTTTAACATTTAGAGCTGCATTTTTATTTGTGTGCGCATTTCCCTAATCTGTATATTGTATATAATTTGGTCTTTACAGCTGCACCAATGCTTAGAAATACATGTTCCGGATGTGCCCTCAATTCCCCATTTTTCTCTTTAGAGGTGTAACTCCAACAGCAACATCAGCCAGCCTAGAACACGATTTCAGGGTCTGGTTAACGTTAATTCTGTGTAGATCTGCAGAAGCCGATGCAGTTCAACCGCCATTACAGGAGGCTCGGCGGACGAGCTAAAAGGGCAATATGGTGCAAAACACTGCGCAACTGCAACAGGCTATATTGGTTTTGATGGTTGGACTAACCCTTTAATTAAATAATTAATATAATAAAGAAATAAAATATAACCTTGGTTCTCTGTCTTATATGACACATGGTATGAAGCTGTGAATCCATTCTGTAGAATAAACGTGCAAAACTAGAGGAAATCAGGAATGGGGTAAAACCTGTTTTTGTGAAATTGTTTATACGAAAAGATCTATGATTGCTGCATGCAGATGAGAAAAACAGCTTTATATTTAGAAAAAAAAGGAAAACTAACTTTTTCAAAGCTGTAAGGAATGCAATCGACAATAAAGCCACAAGATTTATTTAATTTAGTTTTTTTTTATTAAAGCTTATATATAAAAATAAAGTTACATTAAAATGTGATTTTATCATTAAGAAATAACTGATAAATACAAAAATAAATATTTAAATTTGTTGCTACGTAATTTTTTTGTACCAGCTGAAAATATATAAATATAAATGCAAATTGAATATTGAATCAAAACAAAAGTCTGATACATGTTGTGCACTTTCTTCTGTTTCAAGACAATAACAACGTAAACTTAATAAATTGATTATTACGGAACCCAAATTGGCAAGATCTGATCAAATCAGTGCATTTTTCAGCCAAAAAAGATTCTCGGGTTTGGCTAACTTTGCATTTTGCCCTCAAATGTTCACTCCTGTGGTCAGTAAATAACCATGCTTACGTTTTCAAATAAATACATTTTGCAAAGAAAACGCTTACAAAAATACATCTTTGCAAAGTTAATGTTGTAACATTTTAAATAGCAGGTTAATCTACAAACCCAATCCCTTCTTGAGCTCAATGTTTTAAGAATGGAGTAATAAAACCTGTAAATCCTATGTACCAAACCTTTAAACCTTTAAAACCTGACCTCACCCTACACTTTACAATTATTTGAAATATTGCACCTTTAACACTGACAGTATCCTACTTTTAAGCATAAGGCTTGCAGTGAATTCTGGCGTGTTGTAGTGAAACGGGTGTTGGCGACACGCTGAAACCCCTGTACCTAAGGAGTGTAAATGAAAGGAGAGAGGTGTGCCTTTCTCATTGGTTGAGATCATCAAATGTGATGATCTCAGCCAACCCAGTGCATCCCATGGGAAGGGTAGTGCATATGTGCGACAAAACATCATGCGGGGTCAATTAAGTGGTCTCTATGAGATCATTTCATCGAATAACCGAGTTTGACTCTAGGATGGGTATGGAAGTTCCTCTAGTGGCTGTCAGAAAGATTACCACTAGAGGTTTCTACAAAATGGCAATGCGTTACATAGAAGGGTTAAAAATAACAGGACCACTGCACCCAGACCACTTCATTGAGTGGTCCTTTACGTACATTCACGTTTATTCTTTTAAGAGAACCATGCCACCCACTTCCTGTTTGTGCAGTTGGTATGTTAACCCGCTGAACTATCACACGGTCAAATAAAGTTGATGTGAAAAATGAAAAAAAGTGTAGCGTTTTCTGCATACTTTACTAATACTTAGATTGAGAACTCCTATTTCTGTGGGATTTTCAGTTCAGTACTTACATTATGTTGGAATCTTTACATTTACATTTACATTTTTAATACATTTGAGCTTATAATTTGTACTACAATGTTGGACACAGTTTAACTCTCCTTTAGGGGTTTATTAGGGTTTCACTGTACTGACTTAAAAAGTATTATGCAAAATATAAGCAAAAATAACTAAGCGAGGAATTTAGCATGAGGAACTGATTTAGGGCTCGTTGTTGCCATAATACTGACTCGCTCTGTAGAGTTTCAATACTGAACAGCAGTGACAACTGCAAAATTCAGACAGAAGTATCTGAGCTGGAAAACTTCCCCACCTTAACTAAGCTGAAGATTTCTTCAAACTCAACTTTTGGTCTGAATTCTGAAAATCTGTAGTTTAGTCACACACATATAAACACACTGGTTAGTGGAAACAAATACAAAATGCATAATTATGCAATAGTTATCGAACAGAACTGTGTTTGCAAAGACATACGGCACATTACTGAGATAAAAATAACAAGTAACACATTTTCCACTGAATGTATGACATTTCTGAAATTTTTGCTATTCCTCTCTTACCTTGCTAATGTATAAAGGAAAATGACCTCAGAAAGAGGCTAATACTACTGGTATATTCACTAAACTGTGAATTGTAAGGCAATCAAACAGGATTATTTACTTAAGTAAGAATAATCAGGAATTCACAGTGAGTTCAAAGTAAATTTCAAACTTAAAGAAACACTCAAAGCACAAAAACTACTACAATGTTACAGAATGTTGTAGTGGTTATGGTGCCAGGAGTGCTCTGGAGTCCCCTTAATCTAAGTAGCCAAACCGTTTAGTAATTGTTTTGATATGGTCCTCAGGCACTACTCCACACCTCCTCACTGCAGGAAGGAGAGTAGACTTATCCTGCTTAGGAGCTCCCATTAGTTCTCCCTGCAGTCCAAGATCTGCTCATTGGCTGAGATTGTCAGCTGATCGTCCTCAGTAAATGAGCTAAGACCTGCACTGAAGCTTCCAGCAGACACATGTCAAGCTGTGCATGGGGGACCCTTGGTGAGAAATCAAACAGTTCCGAAATAGTTTGAATACTTAGTTTGGAGTGGTGCCATGACACTCCAGGGACCGCAACTACTACAGCATCTTGTAGTGGTTAAGGTGCTTGAAATGTTCCTTTAAGGTCAAAGCAGCGATAGTGCAATGTTAAACTATATGATGTGGTTGGGAATTCTAAACATCTTCCTTGACCAGATGACATTCTAGATATGCAGCACTGGCCCTTAAACTAAGTGCACTGGCAGCTTCCCATTCACTTCTGTGAGGAAAGGGACCGCCAACATGCGCAGCCTTAGAGACACCAGGACCCCACTGAAGCTCAGGTAAGATACTGTACTAGCATAGGAAGGAAGACAAGCGAGGCTAGAAGAAACTCACATTTCAATATTTGTGTCTGGCAGAATGCGTATGTCTGTCAGGGTACGTGTGTGTTTTGTGCATTTGGTTGCACATTGCTCTGAAAGTGTTTATCAATGTCCTTTGGACAGTGTGTATTGGTATCTGTGTGTATAGTGTAAAGGTTTGTGTATCTGTCTGTGAGTATTCTTGTGTGTGTTTCGTTCTGCCTGCTAGTTTCATATAAACAGGATCCTATTTATCATTTGAAACCACAAATGCAGATTAATGATTTGCACAATAATGCATAAAAAAAAAAAAATTCAGTTGCATTATTATCGAGTGAGACAGGCTGCCCTCCCCTCCCATACTGAAAAGCTGTCCCAACACCTTCATTGTTCTGCATTTGCAATCAATACTATCTTGGCTATTGATGGCTTAAATGACCAGTTTCATGTCGCAAAGCCAATGCCTGGGGTTTACCCATAGTATTTAAATCTGTGGCACTTTTCTTTGTTTTAAATGTTGCTTCCCCTGGAGCTATTTCACCTTGCACACACATTTAACAAAAGGGAGATTAGTCCTACTGAATTCTGAAAATCCAAGCCTGTTTTTCTTCCTGAGACGCATTTCCGGAAGATTTTTTCAAATACCTTATCTTCAGAACAGACACTTATGAAGTCAGTATGCCACTTCATCCTGTGTGTCGCAGTAGAATTATACATTTTCTGTGGTAGGCATCATTGACATCTGATCCTAATTCACCTTAATCCCCCCCCCCCAATCAGCTCCTACAGATAGAACTTATTGCACATTCAGAGTTGATAGCTGCAACAAGCTCACAACAAACCATGAGCACTTAATTTATTTTGGTAGGATTTAACTGGTATTAATGTCTTTTCTGCGATGAGTCAATCAGCCTGCTATAAAATCTCCAGGCTTACAATTTTAAAGACCAACTGCATGTACATTTTTTATTTGTAATTACAGTTGATCTCTCTTCTGGTGAGATGGAGATTTCTTATTGCTAGGAGAGGATCGTTTGACAGCTGCAGGGCTTGTTTCTCTAGAGCGTGGAGATCTGTGAGTTTTATCCAGACACTGGTGACCTTCTTGTCGTTGAATCCTTCTAACACCAGAGGATTCAGAGTCACTCGACTGACTTCTTGTACCTGAAGATAGTTCTTGGTGGGCTTTCTCTGTCTTGTATTGCAACAGTTTTTTTGCAGTAAGAGGGGAGGATTGTGAAGATGGAACATCACTGGACTGAGATGATTCAGATTTGTGTATAATTTTTTTCCCGTGCATATTGTTTAAATTATCTGTTTTGTTTTGAGTTCTTGGACTCTTTTGAGGAATATCAGGGCTCCTATGGCGATGCCTTTGGGGAGATGATGCAGCTGGCTTTCTGGTGCCTGGAGGAGAATCTGAAGATATAATGTCTTGAGAATGTCGAACTCTATGGTCCTGTTTAATTTGCTGTGTCCTAGTGGGAGATGCTGTCTTTTTAGTACCAGAAGATGGAACTGAAATACCTGGACCTGGTGAATTCTGAGATTTATTAAAATGATCTCTTCTGTTTTGCGTGCTGTGCACCTGTGAGGATGCTTGCGTCCTTGAACTGGTAGTTGTTAAGTCTGTGCTAGGGTATTGTATATGTGATATTTTGTGAGTTTTTTCTTCAGCCATAACTCTTTCATTTGATGCAGCCCTCCTTTTATTTCTAGGAGAGGAATCTGGAGAATGTAGCTCTCGTGAAGTATGGGATTCACCAGACGCACTCCCATGGGTTTTATATTTCTGAGGTTGTAAATGTTTCCTCTGAATATTGGGAGAAGGATTTGGGGCAGCAACAGCCTCTTGACTTGTGCCTAAAAGTGGTTGGTCACGCTTTTGTTGAATAGCAGCTTTTCTTTCAATAGGTGGGGAAACAGAGTTTTTTTGCACTGCTGGCACATGTTTTCGAATCAAATTTGGAGATGATGGTGATGAACTGTCAGTAAAGGAAACTGAGTCAGGAGTACACTGGTGGATTTTATCCCGTTGAGGTGACCTGTTTTTTCTTGGGTGATATAAGTCCTTGTCTTGATTAGACGCTTGAGGTTTCCTTTCCTTTTGTGGTAATGCCTGTGTTGCGGTACTGTTATCTGTTATATATGGTCTGTTTTGTACATTGCCATATTTTTTATCCTCTCTTTTTTCTTCATTTTTTCCCACTGCTGCTGTTGGAGAAACAGCTGTTATACAGATACGTTCTATTTTGCCATCAGCCTGATCCTGTATTTGGTCCATGGGCAATGGCACAGAGCTTTTGTTTTGTGGAGATGAGCCTTCAGGCCTGGTGCTCTGGATTGCAGCATGTGCAACTGATACAACATTTTGCTTTTCCTTGGCCTCAGAGCTATCAGATGAGGGATACTCATCAAATGGTACCTCTATGTGATGTGTTTTTTTGTTTCCCCTGCTTTCAGTCTTTGGGCTAACAGGTGGTTTAATCTGTTTTTTATCCTGATTAGAGTGTTGTTCTGAATGTAATTCTCCATTACCTTGAGTATGATCTCGAACTTGTAAGTCCTTAGTATCAACCTCCACATTTTGCAGTTGTTCCCCAGATTCGACTTGTGATTCCCCTTTAGCAGGAATACTGATACTTGATTCTTCATCTAAATCAATCTGGTATCTTTCACCCTGAATATTTGTTAATGTCTGAGGTGTTTGTCCAGCTGATGTGTCTCCTGATTCTAAGCCATAAGAACCATGAGGAAATTCAGGATCAACCTGGTCATCTTGATTCTGAGCTTTGTTTGTTTCTGCTGCAGAATTGTCTGTCGGATCAAGCACTTTACACGTTTTTCCTGGCACATCTTTGAAACCTGCAGGCAAATCATTGTGGATTCTGTAGCTTGTTATAGTAGGAATGGGGATCTGGCCACTAATATTTGGGTTTCCAACTGTGGTTGGAGGTGGTCTACCTGGTCTCCTTGTGGGAATCCTGAATGACAGAGGCTGCATTCCAGGGTATTTCCTCTGTACAGACAGGCAGGAAAACACCAAAAATAATATAGTCCCAAAGTATAATACAGCTCCAGCACCCAATATAGAGAGTCCAATTGTCCCAAAAGGGTTTAAGTACCCCACAGCCAACATGGCTGCTGACCCCATAAATAGAAAACAGGAAAGTGTGCAGATAGAGCATAAGAGTATGCGTGGAGGCTTCCTACCTCTGGCATTTCTTCTTACTGCAGGTAGATTTCGAGGTGCCATCAAATGTCCAGCCCGTTTTCTCACAGCCAGCTGATTTTTGCCAAATAGCTCTGCGTGTAATGAACTTAACATACTGACTGTGTCCTGCCACCACCCACATCACAGCAGGCAGCCGGCCCTTCCCATCTACAAATACTTCACAATCAAATAACTGGAAAAACTGGATCTAGGTATAGCTTGTCAATTGCTGAGGGATTAATGTATTACTTTCATGCTCTAAAATAAACTCTTTAAACACATGAAAGATGAATACAAGAAAAGATATACACAAATGATTGACAGATATGCAACAAAAGCAGGAAAATGATATACCACATAGGGTAAAAAAAAATAAAATAAAAAAAAAAAGGTTTTATTTTTGAATTTGTAAGATGTGGTGGTGCTACCTCATTATGAGAAAGTTTGCATAGATAATGACATTATCTAAAATCTTGCCGGGGGAATTTCTGTCAAAACTATAGGCAGGGCCGGACTGGGGAAAAAATTAGGCCCGGGCATTTTTCAATTAGAGCGGCCCCCCAAAAAGGGGGCGGGGCCAGAGAAAGTGAGCATGTTGGTTCAATGCGCAGAGCCCCGCTGAAGAGCTCTAGCATTAGAAAAAGGCCCTGTATTTGTTCTGCGCAGCGCAAGCAAATGTAATAACATGCTTGCGCTGTGTTTGCTTTTAAATTGTCTCTGGTGTCTCCACAAGTGGGATACCAGAGGACAAAAGGGCCAGGAAAGTGTATGGTGCATGTGTTTGGCGCATGCTTGTGGGATTGCCTGTGTGTAGAGTGTGGTGTGGTATTGTGTAAATAGGTCAATTTTGTGGTGTAATATGTGTGGCTAGGGGCTGTAGAGAGTGCGTGTATAGGGGCATAGTGTTATAGGGGATGTAGCGAGTGTGTGCATACGGGCAGTAGTGTGTGTGTATAGGTGATGTAGTGTGTGTCACTTATACACACACACTACTGTGTGTAGAGAGGGTGTATTTAGATAATGTTGTATGTGTTTGCTTACAAGGAATGTAGTGTGTGTGTAGGTGGTGCAGAGTGTGTGTGTAAGAGATCTGGTGTGTAAAGGACCCAGAGTGTGTATAGAAGATTGTGTGTGTGTGTGTAGAGGATTAAGAGTGCATATAGGGTAAGGGATCTAGCGTGTATCTGGAGCGTAATGTGTGTAGTGGTGCAGTGTGAGGGGTGCTGTAGTGTGTGTGTGTGTGTGTGTGTATATATATATATATATATATATATATATATATAATCTCAAAAAAACAGGATGCTTGGCACTCTCCTTTAAGTAATAAGAAAGAACTAATAGCCTGGGTGCTATATCCCAAACGTCAGAAATATACAAAAATCAAAACTGAGGATGCACTCACAGGACTTGGTTAAAGTAAAAAAAGGGACTTTTAATTATTCCATGTGAATGGAAAATTGATTTTTCTGTACATTTCACATGGAATAATTAAAAGTCCCTTTTTTTCACTTTAACCAAGTCCTGTGAGTGCATCCTCAGTTTTGATTTTTGTATATATATATATAAAATATATTTGGACGTATTGTATGTGTGAGGTGCGCAGCGTGTTTGTGTAAGAGGGGTGCTGTGTGTGAGGGTGTTTTTATCTGCCGTCACATTCTGGGTTTCTAATTTTATTTGTCTGTTAACTCACTGAGGGTTTTTTTTATATAATATATGTGCTGTATATGTGTGGGAGTGAGGGTGCTGTCTGTCTGGGGGTGTGCTGTGTGTGTGTCTGTGGGGTGCTGTGTGTGTCTGTGGGGTGCTGTGTGTGTGTCTGTGGGGTGCTGTGTGTGTGTGTCTGTGGGGTGCTGTGTGTGTCTGTGGGGAGCTGTGTGTGTCTGTGGGGAGCTGTGTGTCTGGGTGATGTGTGTGTCTGTGGGGGGCTGTGTGTGTTCCTGGGGGGCTGTATGTGTCTGTGGGGGCTGTTAGGGAAATTATTTTAAAAATATTTTTTTTTTATTTTATTAATAATTATAATATTATAATAATTAATAATTAAAAAAAAAAAGTTATGTCCCCCCCCTCCCTTCTTACCTTTAGCCTGGGAGGGGGAGGGAGCCGTTCTGCCTGGGAGGGGGAGCCTTGAGGGGACCATGCTGCCTTCCCTGGTGGTCCAGTGGTGAGAGTGAACTCTAACCTGCAGGTTAGAGTTCACTCTCGCGAGATCTGAGCGTTGCCGCGGCCGCGGCAACGCTCAGAATCCCGCGAGAGGACCGGGCGGAGCTGCTTGTTAGAGCTCCGCCGGGTCCTCTCTCCTCCCTCCCTCACCCAGCCGGCGGCCGCATTTCCCTGCCTCTGGGACGGTGAGGGAGATCTGTGATCTCCCCACCGGCCCATGGAGGCACTATGCAGGGCCGGCACTCGGATAGCGCTGGCCCTGCAGGGGCCGGCCGGGGAGATCCTGTGATCTCCCTGCCGGCCTCGGCCCCATGGCCATCGCGGCCCACCGGGCATTTGCCCGGTATGCCCGATGGCCAGTCCGGGCCTGACTATAGGTGAATAAAACTCTCTTTATTTTGAACTAGAGATGTGCACGGGAACATAATTTTTGCTTTTGTTTCAATATGTTAATTTTCATATTTCACTTCATCAGAAATTCCCAAAAATATCAATGTGGCAGAAAATTAAATTGCCAGAAATTCTGAGGCCCATTATTCCCAATGGGAAATAAATGGAGATGGCAGTCGCACAATACCAGTTTAGAGAGTTATCTGCTAAACTGTGGACAGATCAAAATTAAGTTGTTTAGTAGAGAGCTCCCTCACTTGGTATTCTTAAATATGGCATTCCACGTAAGGTTAGAAAATTAAGAATCTATCTAAACAGCTGAAAGATCAAAATTAAGAAAATAAGTTTAGTCGATTCGGAAAGCCGAATGCTTTTAAATGGCCAAAATGACCAAATTTGATTTGGAATAAAACGAATTGCACATGTCTACTTGAAACCTTGTCAATTAGGGTATAGAATTAAGCTCAATATAATATGATGACATGCACTACAACCACTAGCATAAGATAATATAATTTAAAGGGACACTCCAGTGCCAGGGAAACAATCTGTTTTCCTGGTACTTCAGGTCCCCTCTCCCTCCCACCACCCATCCCCGGTTGCTGAAGGGGTGCAAACCCCTTCAGTCACTTACCTGAGACCCCCGCCGATGTCCCTCGGCGGTGGTTTCGGGTCGCAGCCGCTCCTCCCCTTCCTTACATCAGCCAGTGGGTGAGACTGATCCCGATCGCGAGACTTATAAAAAACTGCAATAATTACACTTGCAGGGTTAAGAGTAGTGGGAGTTGGCACCCAGACCACTCCAATGGGCAGAAGTGGTCTGGGTGCCTGGAGTGTCCCTTTAAGAGAGAGAATTTGCAACTTTCATTTCTCTACTGTTATAATATGTTGTGTATTATGTATACATTTACTTTATGCATTTATTGATTGGTTATAGCCTGAACCTCTTTTATACTACTTTATGAAAAATGAAACAAACTTGCAATGTGGATATTGCCACTAACTTTAGGTTGTGTAAGAAATATAAATAACATTTAATAATTTTATTTAAAATAAAGATACTAACCTATATGTCTGTAGTGTATCGCCTGGTTTGGTAAACCTAATTTAACAACCAAATAAACTAGAAACACATGAAAGACAAACTTCTCTTTTTCTATCGGATTACAAAGAACAGCATATATGTGGCAGTATATAACTGGTTTCCTGCTCATTATGATTTCATTTAAAAAATAAATAAAAATGATATATATATTAAATATAGACACATTTTTTGCTTGGGTTGTTTGGGAAGAGGCAAAAAAAAAAACCCATCAACCCAACAAAAACAAAAACCCTTTGTTTAAAGGAATACTATAGTGTTAGGAATTAACAAAGTTGTATTCCTAACACTACAGTCTCCCTATGCCCATGCATTGTTGCAATCAATGGGTTATTTTTGCTGAGCATGAATTACAAAAACACCTATGAAGTCACTGGGGAGCATATGACCATAGGGAGAACAGGCCACAATTCATCTGTGTGCCACTATCCATCAAGTGCCAGATTCCAATAAGTGCCCTGAATCCTAGGAGTTTACCAAGAGAACTAACTCAGCATTTTCAATTCTTCCACACACCTGGACTAATGTAAAATAATCTGGCATCCCTCTACTCTCATCCACAGGTAATCTCTGGCTCTGATCTCAGTTAACCCCTGCAACACTGACTCACCCCTGCACCCCACGTACTAGGTAATCTCTGGCTCTGATCTCAGTTAACCCCTGCAACACTGACTGTCTCACCCCTGCACCCCACGTACTAGGTCATCTCTGGCGCTGATCTCAGTTAACCCCTGCAACACTGACTGTCTCACCCGTTCACCCAACGTATTAGGTCATCTGTGGCTCTGATCTCAGTTAACCCCTGCAACACTGACTGCAGAGGACCGCTAAGGGGTTGGGGAGAAAGGAGGAGAGGGAGGACCACTAAGGGGGTGGAGGAAAGGGAGAACCACTAAGGGGGGGAGAGGGGACTGGAGGGGGAAGAGGTAGGACCACTAAGGGGTTGGGGATGGAGGACCACTAAGAGAGGCGGAGAGGGAGGACCACTTAGGGGTGGAAGAGGTGGTAATGAGAGGCCACTAAGGAAGGAGAGGGGGAGTGAGAGGACAACCAAGGGGGGACTGTAGAGGGACACGGGGGCTAAGGGAGAGCACTAAGGGAGGGGAGAGCACTAAAAAACACAAACTGCATCCCCTATACACACAATTCATCCCTTACACAAATTGGTATCCCTACACACTACATTCCATAAGAACACACACAAATCACATCCTCTACAATAACACATAACACATCCCCAACACACATACACTCCACTCCCTGTGAGGGACCTCATGGGTGGGCTATGTAGGTGGATTTAAGGGTGGGCCTTGTAGGCATACTCAGGGTAAGGCCCTGGAGGCCCAGACCATGTGCTGTGTAAGGGGCACCAAAAAAATGGAGCTGCTTCCTGTTCGTTAATTGTTGTTTGCACTGTTACAAACAGCCTCCAGATAGCCTCTTCTACACCAGACTTGTGGAGCCAGACTGCAGCCTGAG